AAAATTAGACACCGAATCTCGAAAATTGTGGGAATCAAATATCAGTGTTGATGATAATCTACCCACATTTGTTGAGTTTAAGGTTTTTTTGGAATCGAGATTTCGTTCACTAGAATTTTTAGGCACTAAGCCTAATAACCAATCCAAGAGTCAGAATAATAATGTAAATAGCAATGTCAAATCCTTCCATGTCGCTTCTCTAACATGTATCTTATGTTCCGGCGATCATAAATTATGTCACTGTAAACAGTTTGCAAGGCAAGATTGTGAGGCACGTCGTGACTTTGTTCGAACCAATAAATTATGCTATAATTGTTTAGGAAAAAATCATTCCGTATATTCTTGCCGTCAATCAACCAAATGCCATCTTTGCAAAAAGAGACACCACACATTACTCCATCCAAAACCAACCGTCGATGCCACTGAACCAGCAAACGGTTCAGGGGAAACGAATGTAGTAGTTGCTACGGCAGCTGCTTCTTCTAACCAATGCGAGTCCACCACTATTTGTTGTTTTGCAGATGTGCACAACCAAGGTTTACTTGCCACAGCCTTGGTCAACGTTGAGTCGAGAACTGGTTCCACTATTGTTTTAAGAGCTCTGATGGATCAGGGCTCTCAGGTCTCTTTCATCACAGAGGCCGCGGTCCAGTTGCTCGGTTTAAAGAAAACACCTGCTCACACCGACATACTGCGACTAGGCGATGATGAGGGGGTTTCTATGCCTTCTAAGTGGGTAGTAAGATTCAAATTGCAGTCACGCCTAGATCCTACTTTTGTTTTGTATGTCGATGCGTATGTATTAAACAGACTCACATCACATCTTCCTGAGAGGAAGATTGTTAATGTGCTGCCGTCGATTTCATCCCTAGAACTTGCAGATCCGTCCTTTGATATGCCGGGTAAGATAGACCTTTTACTGAGTACTCGCGTGGTCGGTGAAGTTCTAGTGGACGGCTTGGTCAAGGGCCCACCTGGAACGCCAGTAGCCCAAAGGACCAAGTTAGGGTGGATCTTGTCTGGCGAGATCCACACGTCGCGCAGGACTCAACCAGTATGTTGCAATGCAAGCATAGACGTAAACGGGCTTTTGAAAAATTTTTGGGAGTTGGAATCGGAGTCTTCTGCTCACAGGGTCATCTTGACCGAGGAAGAGCAAAGGTGTGAAGAGTTCTTTTCCAACACTACCAAAAGAGATGCAACAGGACGATATATTGTCAAGTTGCCATTCAAAACCAAACGTCCTAGCTGCGTTTACGGGGGGTCCGAGGATATAGCTCGTAAACGGTTCTACATGCTGGAAAGAAAGTTGTCGAGAAATCCTGAGCTAAGACAGCAGTACTCTGAAGTTGTTCAGGAGTATGTTCGCTGTGGGCACGCCGAAGTTGTTCCTCAAGCACTGTTAAGGAACGATGCCTTTTATTTACCACATCACGCCGTAGTACGCGACGATAAAAGTACTACTAAGGTTAGGGTCGTCTTCGATGCCTCTTGTTCGGGTAGCAATGGTGTATCGTTGAATGACGAATTAATGGTTGGCCCAACCTTACAATCTGATTTGCGCCATATCATCATGAGATGGCGATGCCATCCCATTACATTAGTAGCAGACGTTGTGAAAATGTACCGGCAGGTTAAGATAGCTGAAGCGATGTAGATTACCAAAGGTTTTTATGGCGTGATAACCCAGATTCTGAGTTGCAACATCTACGTCTGCTGCGTGTCACCTTCGGTGTATCTTCAGCTCCATACTTGGCGGTGCGTACTCTGGTACAACTAGCTCGTGACGAAGGGAAGGATTATCCTCTAGTCGCGGACCTTGCCCTTAAAGATTTTTATGTAGACGATTTCTTGTCAGGTTGTGAATCTGTAGAAGACGGTGAAGAAATTTATCATCAGATGAACAAGTTAATGGCACGCGGAGGCTTCCAGCTTCAGAAGTGGTCCAGCAGCAGTGACGAACTATTAACTAAAATACAAAATGGAACGGATACAACTCATGACACAATACATTTTAAAATGGATAAGATTATGAAAATATTAGGCTTAACTTGGAATAGAGAATCAGATGAATTTCAATATACTGTCCATCTTCCTCCGCTGGAGACTCCCGTGACAAAGCGTAGAGTGATATCTGATATCGCCCGCTTGTTCGATCCTTTGGGCTGGCTTGCCCCAGTAATAATAACAGCCAAGGTGTTTATACAACGCTTGTGGCTCTCTGGAATCGAATGGGATGATGAACTACCACATCACTTACTGACGGATTGGCTTAGCTACAGAAACTCCCTCGAAGGTTTAGTTGCTTTCCGTCTACCTAGGTGGATTCACACAAGCAGACATGACCAGCATGCTGAACTGCAAGGCTTTTGTGATGCCTCTAATGAAGCGTATGCAGCAGTAGTCTATACGCGGTCCATAGATTCCAACGGCACTGTTTTCGTCAGTCTTGTGGCATCAAAAACCAAGGTGGCCCCCGTCACACAGGTTTCAATACCTCGTTTGGAGTTGTGCGGCGCGGTACTGCTATCAAAACTTCTCTGTGAAGTTTCGGACACCTTGGGAATAGAAAGAAAGTATAGTCATGCCTGGACTGACTCATCAGTGGTTCTCGCTTGGCTTGGAGGCCACCCTAGCCGATGGAAAACCTTCGTCGGCAACAGAGTTGCTGAAATTCTCACCGTTATGGACAGGAATCAATGGTCGCATGTTCAATCGAAGGATAATCCCGCCGATTGTGCATCGCGAGGTGTAAAGCCTTCTGCATGCGTAAATCTGGATTTGTGGGTAAGGGGACCTAGCTGGCTCAGAGACGTAGTAGTAAATTATAGTAAGGGTAGTATAAATCAAACAAATCTAGAGGAAAAGAAAACAAATGTAACATCGTGCAATATACTAATTAAAAGTGATGAAGAGAATAATATAATGTCAAAATTTTCATCTTTAAGAAGGTTAACAAGAGTAATTGCATACTGTAGAAGGTTTTTGAAATCAAAATATAAGCAAAATAATCAACCTAATTCATCTCTTTGTTTATCGTTTGCCGAAATTAATGCAAGTTTGTTAGTATGCATCAAAATGTGTCAACGTAAATATTTTTTGAATGACATAGATGCTTTAAACAAGACAGGCAAGGTCGACAAAAGAAGTAAACTCGCCCAACTAAATCCCTACCTTGACCAGGATCAAATCATGAGAGTTGGCGGGAGGTTACAGAGAGCCCATATTGATGACACAATGAAGCATCCAATTATACTTCCTCACAAGTCGCATTTGACAGACCTTTTGGTAGCTGATGCTCATGAACGCAATTTGCACGGCGGCCCACAATTAGTCCTTAATTTTTTGAGATCTAAGTTTTGGATCATCAATGCGAAAAGCGTAGTTCGTCAACATGTGCGGAAGTGTGTAATCTGTATGCGTTACTCGGCGCGAGTTGTACCTCCGCTAATGGGCCAGCTACCGTCAGCCAGAGTCAACCCTAGCCGACCGTTCTCTAAAAGTGGTGTGGACTATGCAGGTCCTGTTAATGTGAGGCCCACAAGGGGGCGCGGTTATCACTCCATTAAAGGCTATATTTGTTTATTTGTCTGCATGGCGACCCGTGCTATTCATTTAGAGGTTGTAAGTGATATGACGTCGGAAGCATTTATAGCAGCCTTTAAACGCTTTACATCGAGACGGGGCCACTGTAGTGAGATGTGGAGTGACAACGGCACCACCTTCGTCGGAGCCAATAGAGAGTTGAAGGCTTTGTTTAACCGGGAAAGGTCAGGCGTAGCTTCAGACATCGCTGATTGGCTAGCAACAAACGGGACTAATTGGCACTTTATTCCACCCCACGCCCCTAATTTTGGAGGGCTTTGGGAGGCTGGAGTGAAGTCCACAAAACATCACCTCAGACGAGTTGTGGGTACCAGCACGCTTACTTTTGAGGAACTAACTACTGTTCTCGTTCAGATAGAGGCGTGCCTGAATTCACGGCCGCTCTCTGCTTTTAGTGGAAATCCCGATGATCCGTATCCGTTAACTCCAGGTCATTTTTTGGTTGGCGAACCGATCGTGCTCCCACCTGAGTCAAACTTTGAGCATTCAAACGTAAGCACGTTAAGGCGATGGCATTTAACTCAGCGTCTGGTTCAAGATTTTTGGCGTAGATGGTCTCATGAATATCTCGTTCAGTTTCACCATCGGTATAAATGGTCCCATCAAACTCTGGAACCGAATGTAGGCGATGTGGTTTTGGTTATGGAAGATGACTTGCCTCCTGCAAGATGGCTCTACGGTTTAATAACCGAAAAACATACTGGTTCAGACAAAGTCACAAGGGTTGTGTCACTACGTTGCAAGGGGTCTATAATCAAAAGGCCCGTTTCGAAACTAATAGTACTGCCTGTTACGTCTTAATTGTAAGATTGTGTGAATTTTATTTTGTTAATTTTAAGAACATTGTTTATGAAAACTTTTACATTGGTAACCTATACTACTAAATTTTTTACAGTCCACTATTTATAACTTGTAATGCCCATCTTAATTTGTGTGATATATAATTCTTAAGAGTTCCGTCATGGTGGGCGGCTACAAATGTTTGTGATTAATTTTATATAAGTTATGGACATTCCGTCCATGGTGGGCGGGATGTTCAATCGAACGTTAACATTTTCTATTTTTTGCAACACGCGATAGATGGCGTTGTCCCGGTCGGCTGAATCGCGGTGTTAAGATTCTCCGGCCGTAGTATGTAAGCTACACAATAAATAAATTTTATGAGCTCGCATCTAACGGTTGTTTAATTACTCTGTGAAACGTACCTTGAAGCTAGGTAATCTAACAGAAGTCTACAATATTTTATTTTACTAGAATTACGCTGTAAGTAAGTAAATAGAAACTAAAAATACGCATTTTCTACATATTTAAACATAATAGGTACTTCATCTGATTTATGGTCAGGAAGATCATTGTAGTTTTATTTAAGTTTTCACATTAATATTTATTTACAGTTTATCCCGGTGATAACTGCTTTAGACAAGGAAAACATGGTGTCTGCTTACCAGTGCCGCAGTGCAAGAACATTGACAATGAGATCCGAAGAGCAGGCAATCCTGTTCCTATTTACATGAGAAATAAACTTCAGAGTCTCGCATGTGGTTTTCATTATGACGTACCTATGGTAATTATATGATCTTACTATGTTGTATTGTATATGTAAGTATACTGCCTTATGTAAATTTTTACCTTAAGTGGGTATGGTTTACCGTTACGCCTATGAATCTGTTGTTTTCACCATAACACAGTTCTACAACTGGCTAATTCAGGTGCACAGTCTCGTTTCACGTTGTTACATTTAATAAATAACTAACTTTGGGGCGATAAGAAGAGCAAGCCAGAGCTAAACAGGTACCCGAGAATACTTGCTAACGACCTTGGTGACGTGACCAGTGCAGCAGTGTTTGACACTTGTAACATCTCTGACTACAATTTTAGACTGAAAACCAGTGGATACCCAGGGGGAAATTCTGAAATAGCCATCGCACGCTGGCCCTGTAACCCCACATAAAGCTGCCACATAGTAGAAGGGTAAAAAACATAGAAGGCCAGGCTATGTACGTAGATGTCTGAATAGTCAAACAATAATATTATACGGACCAGTCAACATGAACTGGTCCTAGGCAGAAAATGACGTTAATCAGTTGCTTAGTAGTGGCGTGAATGACAAACAGCCACAATACCTATAATAATATTAATATGTTAATTAAATAGTTTTAAAAAATCTTGAGATATTATGTTATTGTCTTAAGTTGTACATAGATCTGATAAATTTTGTTATTTCTTGAATCATAATCATTCCGTGTGAATCTTAGTGAAGTGTTTACTTCACAATTTAATTTTGCGGTTTTGTGGTTGGACACCATGTATAAACACCCACGCACTGTAAGTAGTATAATGTATTATCAGGTATTTAGTATTCCAGGGTAAAAACCCAAACACATATCATCCATCGTTTATCTGGGGAAATCCATGGCGAAAATATAACCGTTCTTTAGTTTTTATTGTCAATTTCCGTATCTTTTTTTTATATATTATTTTAGGAAGGAAGAATAAACAGGTGTTAGTGACACATCAAGAGTGTTTTGCATTTACCTCTATTATAATTGATGAAACTAAGTATTAAAAAATAAATCATTAAGTTTATAAGTCTATTAAATCTGATGTATATAATCCGATTTATAAACCAGAGCTTCGTGAATGAGATATACGAGTAGTAATAATTAGATGTGAGAAAGTGACTAGATGTGAGAAATTCTTATTGGCTTTTATTTTCATTAAATTCATTAATACTGAATTGCACACACGTCCATATAAATGTAGGTATAATTCACAAGTTATCATCATTTGTGGTTAACTATTGTATTTCTAGATCTAATATATAAACCGGATTTTTCTTACATAATTGCTGTTATTATAATCATCGCACATAAATGTTTTACAAATATTGAGATCGTTATGAGATTACAAAAATATGATACATTGTGGATACATTCGATGTAATAAATATGTATAAAAATCCTTTTTTGGTGACGAGGAGGTAAATCGGTGGGCTCCCAAGAAATGACATCGTGACGATGCAGCAGGAGTATGTAGTGCTTAAAGCTTCCACTAAAAACATCCTGACGGCGGGCCTCAGACGCTCTACTCAGGGGAGGACCCGAGACCTGGTTCCTCGGCTACGGCCCGGAACGGCGTGAGGTTTTTAGTCGGTTCGAGTCCGACATAGTTACCGGTGGATGGTATCCGAGGGGATTTCCGCACAGAAAAAAAGGGGAGGACCCGAACTACAAACTTAGCTTAGCGAACAAATTAAAATATAACAACTTGTTGTAGTCTCATTATAATTTTTATCGATAACATGAAAATATTAGAAATAAAATAGGCGCATTGTTTCATAAAGTTTTAACTTAATTTTTAATGTACATATGAACATTCAAACTTTATTTAAAATAAGTAATAAAAGTAATTTACTTCAAAACTCCACACTTTTTAATACTTCAAACTTTCTAACATTAAGAAAGATACTGCTGTTATTGATGTTCGTTTTAATTCATCTGATGTAATTGTAATCTATATATATATATATAAGAGATTTCCACGTATATAGTCACTCATCACGATATCTCTGGAACCATTAGAGCTAAAGACTTGAAATTTGGTAGGAATATTCTTTTCACCGAGTAGAGGTCAGCTAAGAACGGATTTTAAGAAATTAAAAAAAAAATGTTAATAGCAAAACAACGTTTGCAGGGTCAGCTAGTCACTAATAAAAAACAGAGCGCTTTCCAAAAGATGCCATTAAAATATAATTTTTTCCCTGTGAATAGTTTTTTGCATTGGCCAACTGGCGCCGTTTATAGTAAACTTACAAACATGTGTCTGTTATCTTTTTCCTAAAGGTTGGTTTATATGAATGTCTTGAAACAAATCGATATTCGTTATTAGTCTTTCCTAATATAATATTTACGATTAATAATGTAAAAAAAAATTACAGATATGTTGCTTTTCGATAGCAGAATCAGACTATGACATACACCTTCATCGGGTAACTGCAAACTCGGGATACCCAGCTCATAGCGGGGAAAATTTTAATTTCGTTGGAGCAGAAGAGCATGAACATGACTACGACAACCATAACGACAACGTAGAATGTACCCCAAGAATAACATTAAGTAACAAGAGTGGGCCAAATTCTGTTGAAGCACATCCAAACCTTGGAATGTTACCGAAACAATGTGGGTCTATTGAAAGCGATCGAATAATTGGAGGCAATCGAACAAAGCTTTTTGAAATGCCGTGGATGGTGCTACTTTCATATGATACAAGTAAGAAAATGATAATATGTTATCAGATTGGTTAAAACGAGTCGACTATTCTTTTTTTGACTTGTCATCTATTGTATGTGATACCAGAAATTTTCTATAAATAAATATATATATATAATATACCTCACACATCTCACACACGGCCGTCTGATCCCAAACTAGGCAGAGCCTGTGCTATGGTAACCAGACTGCTGATAAACATACAAATACATATGAAAATACAAAATACAATATGTATAAATAAAATACAAAATACATTGCCAAATTGTTCGTACTAATTAATTGTTTCATTATTAAAATGTGTGCTTGCATGTAAAAATATCACAAGTAATTCATTTTATTCCCACGATTTGTTATAGTTAAAGAATCAGCTTGTATATACTTATTTAGGACAATTAACAAAACCATTTAGGAAAATTACCAAACCATCTATGAATGAGTAAGTGAAAATACCTGAGATATGAATTAGAGATTTTCATATGACGACGTACATTATAAACATAGAGGAATATTGATTTGATTTACTTAGCGGTGTGTCAATATTACCTACGATAAAAGGGCATCACTCAGCGGTTCACTAAGTAAGATAGGCTGGTGTCTGTTGTAATGATGCACTTTGAAGACCTCTTCAAAGTGCATCATTACAACAGACACCAGCATAGTATCATTGCAAAATCTATCGCTTAATCTTATATATAAAATTCTCGTGTCACAATGTTAATTATCATACTCCTCCGAAACGACCGATTTTTATGAAATTTTGTGTGCACATCGGGTTGGTCTGAGAATCGGCCAACATCTATTTTTCATACCCCTAAATGACAAGGGTGCAATATTTTTTAGAAATAATGTATTTGGCAAAACAACGTTTGCCGGGTCAGCTAGTCTCAATATAAAAAGCATTCTTATTAGCAGTAACCAGGTGTTACCTAGTTATAGAGTACTGGCCCGATAATTTACTTTTCAAATGTAAAGGAATGTTATTTCTTGTCACTAAAAGATGCGATGCATTGTTGCAAGATCATACAAATAAGAAAATACTTATTTTAACTTTTCACTTTTTAGGTCGTGGGATAAAGTTAAAATGTGGTGGTACAATTATCAACAAGTGGTACGTCCTGACTGCAGCACACTGCGTTTCTTATCTAAGTAGCAGAATGAGACTGGATGGCGTGATAATTGGAGAGTATGATGTCAGAGGAGATCCAGACTGCGAGATATCAGATGACGGAGAATATTGTGCTCCTAGCGTAATTGTAAGTTTCTTACTGTTAGTAGTGTAAAACTTGAATTTTAAAATAATTTCTTGTGGTAGTTGTCCAGATATTGAATAGATACAGTGCTGACGGACCAACTTTTTTTCATCAATACTGATAGATACACTACTATTAAATGTGAAATATTTATCATAACAAAGTTCAACAAACAACACAAAACAAACAACAAAAAATTCAAAAAAATAAAAATTGCTTTTTTTCGTAAAAAATAGGGAAATTTGGGGTAACTTTGATACCTTTTTTTCTAATAATGGGGTAATTCCAAATATACTTACTGAATTTCTTATGTCGTCATCATCATCAACAGTCAATATTCAACTGCTGGACATAGGCCTCTCCTTAGAAAAGAAGAATGGTCTGTTGTCCTGCGTAGTTTACTCGGTTTGCTCCCTTAGTCGGCTCTTACAACACCCACGGGATATGAATAAGGATAGTGACACTCCGTATCCTTAATCTGTCACCACACGAAAGTCTTATAGATGTGAACTTAATACTTTTTAGTTTTTTTATCTTTATACCGGCTTAAGTTGTTTGTACTTATTCATTTTTCAGAACGCTACTATAGACACAATAATAGCCCATCCTGGGTATACACCCCAAACTTTAGCTGATGATATTGCTCTGATAAGACTTTCAGAGGCGTTGGACTTTTCTCCAGGTTAGTCATTTTATTTATTATAGAGGTAGATATGATATAGTAGTGAGAAATATGAGGTAGCAAAATAAATCAAGTACATAAGTTTAAATACTTAGGTAGTACTATCATATCCAAGTGTAACCTCGAAGCTGAGTTTAACCATCGAATTTATGCGGCTGCCGTAGCATTTGGCAGATTACGGTCAAAGATCCTTCAGTCACACGACCTAAAGCTGTCTACTAAAGTCTCCGTGTACATGTCTTTTGTTCCCCCAAATTTATTATATTCCTCTGAGAATTGGATTCTATATCAGCGTCACCTCATTGGACAGGTCTCACATAAAATATCTTCGTGACTGACTAAACATCAAATGTTCAGATCGGGTAAAAAACACCATAGGTTAGCAAAAGCGCATATTTTTCTCTAAGCTCCAGAACCTAAAACGCAAACAAGGAGGTCAGTTCCTACGTTATAACAATGTCCAGAAAAGATAAATGAAGCGATGCGATATCGATCCGGCAACTTGGGAGAACCAAACAAATTGTCGACCTAAATGGAGGCACTTCTTACGGCAATAAGTAAACGCTTTTGAAGAGCAGCGCAAAACAGAGTTAAATCAAAAGAGCGTTACACTATAGAGGTACACTAAAAATACAGCTGGTAATGAAACATAGTAGGCCAAAACATCCTTTCTAAGAAGAGGCCTATGTCCAGCAGTGGACTATTAAAGGCTGCTGATGATGATGATTCTTGAATGGCACAAATGGTGCAAAACCAGTTGTAACGTTTGTCTCCAAATTTATGCCTCTCTTTTATGGTCCTCTTAAAACTGAAAGCCCTTCTTGACACCACAAAAACCTATGATTTATAGAATCCTTCTCCTCCTTGTGTCGTTATCCCTTATACTGAGGGTCCTGACCCCTATTTGTATCCATTCTGCGATTGACCGCTTTATACTCGTATAGAATACAAAACGATATTTTTTTGTTGGTGCTAAATATGTACAAGTAAATCTCTGACGTCATAGTATCATTTATGTTACCTACTGGTTTCAATTAAAAATCCATGGTGACGTGGGAACAATGAAGCACTGTCTACAGCTTGATTCTCATAATTTGTAAGAGCGAACACTGATTGTCGAAATGTGTCTTATGTTTATTTTCATTTTCAATGAACATTACCTTCCGGATTGTGAGGTGTCTTTTATTGAATACATGGTTGCAAGGGCACACTTCTAGCAATATACCTAGGTTTTGAGACAAAAAAAAAATAGTAGGTATATCTACTCTTTGTAATAAAATAATAACATATGCTAGAAGTACTAACATGTCAACTGCTATGGTAGAAACACATATGCAGTAAGTTCCTATTTTTATTTACAGACAGTCGCAAACCAATTTGCCTGCCAATAACGCGCGAACTCCAAAGTCGGTCAATGGCGGGGCTAAATGGTGTAGTAGCAGGATGGGGCGTCACAGAAGATGGCTTGCAATCGCCTGTACTGCTTAGTGTAGAATTGCCTATCCTAACACAAAGGGCATGTCAGGATGCATATAATGGGTAAATGGTTTATGACATTTTTCATTCTGTTGTTATACATATTCACTATATTCAGCACCTTCAATCGTTAGTGTATTTATAAACTTTTTATGTCATTTATTGAAACTGACTGGCTCTTTATTCTCATATTCTGTCATCAGAAGGTAGTAGATTTTTTTTATTGTATTTAATTATGTGGATATTGTAATGTGGCCGGTTTTTTAAATAACAAAATACATATGAGCCATAGTTCGGCACAAATGGGCGGGCTCGACTGGAGTGATACTATTGTTTACAAATAAAAATTTATTGATAGGTTGCCATAGTTTGGCGTGGAGGTGACAGGTGATGCCATCTGGCACCCTAGCAGAAGCAGGCCCGGATTGGCGGCGGGACCGCTGTGAAGCACGCGTGTCCTTTCGTGGGTAGAAAGGGATAATCGGTGTTCTTACACAGGAGGGGTCACCTACAATGGTACATCGTATGGATGGTACGTCAGGGCACCAGGGATTTCCTTTCTAGGGTACACCTGGTTCCTCGGCTACTGGTACAAAAGAGAGCGCAGCGTGCGGTTTTAAGTCGGTTTGAGTCCGACAAAACCACTACGGTATCCGATGGGATTGCCGCACAGAAAAAAAATATCAATCTGAAATAATGACAACTTTTCAGTCAGGAGTTCTACAAAACTATCAATTTTTGTTCATAGGTATTTTAAGTTTTAATTCTTATGTCCTTATACCGTTTTCAGAACAATTCGTATAAGCGAGAAGCAACTATGCGCTGGTGGAATCAAAAACAAAGACTCCTGTGGCGGAGACTCCGGTGGTCCTCTTCTGTATCCTGGGCAGTACAGTCGATATGGACTCCGATATATCCAGCACGGAATCGTGTCTTTCGGCTCCAAGCGGTGTGGTACTGCTGGGTTCCCTGGAGTATACACCAACGTAGCGTATTATATGGACTGGATATTGGACAATATGCGTAGCTGATTTGACTTAACAGCTTTCCATTCTTGTAAATATTTTTGATTCAACAAACCGAACTGTAAGTTTCACTGTCAGTCTTTAGAACTTTTTAGTCAGTTGTATTTTTCATTGATTTTAGTTTTAAGTTTTTAAAACTCTGTAACTAGTCCTAATTTATAAATGAGTGCGTCGGTATCATGTAAATTATGTATCATGTTACCGTTTTAGAACAAGTTACCCTACAAAATTAAAAAATGTAGTGTAAAACTTTTGGAATGAAAAACATGTATCTAAGTTATAAAAACAGTTTGTGAAACAGTTCGATAGATACTTTTTATTTATATATAATTAAAAGTAAGTTAAGCAACTATGTACGTCATCTCACTATAAACAAAAAAATCGCGATGGTTGCCCATTATCCCTTAATTTATTAGGTAAATTTTTAATATTATTTATTTTTACACCATTTTAAACCATTTGAGAAAAATAATAAACCATAATCTGTAAGTACGCAAATAAATATTTTAAATCAATATTATAGACTATGGACCAGCGTTACAAATATAATTTTATTAGTACATGTAAAAAATAAAAAAAAGAACTATTAAAAAGTTCAAATCCGTAAATAGAATTATAATATAAATCCAAAGCGTATATTGGTTTTTCTTTTGAGAAAATTTTGGAGGACCTTGTCACTGCAAAATATTGTATAGATTTTTGTTCTGTTGTACCTACAGTGTTCTGTCAGTATTTCTATGAGAACAACTAAGATCACTCTTGAAATATTATAAGTAGCGTTAATCTATGTCTATATTCTATATCTATATTCTACAAATATATATAAAACAAAATCGTGTTAGTTACACCATTTAGGTTGGACGGTTGGACCAATTATTATGATATTTTTGTTTTTGGATTTGTCTTTGTTCGGAATAGGATAATAAATATTGAAATATGATATTCATCAATAAAAAATATATTTAAAAGACATCAGTCATAACATCAGTCTAGCCGTTCGTTTATCATAAATGATACATAACAAAACTCAACTGACAGCTCACTTAATGTTGTCACGTATTGTTGTATTTTTTTTTAATTTATATTTATTATCATAATAAAATTTGAACTTCATAACTTTAAATTAATTTTAAAATCCTAAATCTGCTTATTCATTGACTATTAGGCGGAACGAAGTTCGCCGGGTCAGCTAGTTTACTATAAAAATCTAAAAAATGACTTTGACTTTGATGAAAAGTTGTCTAAATTTTGGAAAAAGTAATAGTCGGTAGGTGCAAGGTCTGGTGAGTATGGCGGATGAGGGAGAGCTTCCAACTCCAGCTCTTGCAGCTTGGAGACTGTCTGTTGCGCAGTATGGGGTTGCGCGTTGTCGTGAAGGAGCAGTGGGGACGACCGATTGACCAAAGCTGGTTGCAGATGTGACCACCAGACCTTGCATCTACCGACTATTACTTTTTCCAAAATTTAGACAACTTTTTAGTGGGTAAAAAATTCAATGCCCGAGAGGCAGTACAAAATGCCTTTGAAGAGTTTGTTGCCTCCCGTCCAGCTGATTTTTACAAGAAGGGCATCAAATAAACTGCCAATGCATTGGCAAAGATGCGTCGATTGCATGGGTGATTACTTCGAATAACAGAAATAAAAAAGTTTAAAAAAATAAGTTCTTTCACTTATTGCATACAAAACGGCAATTTCATAGATAAAGACCTATTATAAACCCTAAATCTGGCTTTTATAATTGGGCGGTATAATAAGGACCAGTAAAATATCGGAAGAACTCCAATCCTATGTTGCATGTTCCAGGATTCTCCTGTCTTCTCAATAATAGTCTGTAATATCTGTAATACCTTACAATGTTGTGAAGTTGCAAGATACCAATATAATTCCCTCGACGAGTTTGGGTCAGTTGAGAGTGTTAATATATAGATGATAAGACTCCGTTGATCAAGACTCCGGTTTGCTTAAGTGTGAGCTGTCAGTCAAAAGCCAATGTGAATAGGGTATTACGAGTAGGGTAGACTGTAACCATAACGGTATTTTTAGAAGATTCGTGGTGGACTGGTTTTGATGGTGTTTCATTCGTAATTTGTACTTTCTGGTTCTAATAATAGTCTAAAATGTATTTCAGTATTGGAAGAAATTTCAACGTGCATATCAAGCATTAACCTGTACTAAATTGTGCAACGTCATACTTCTAAAGTGTGTATATTGCTGCAACAAGCAACATTTAACTTTCTGATTTCATATGTAATGATGGATGAAGTAAGCATTATATTTACATAATGTAATTAGGAACTGTTTTTTTAAATTGATATGTGTCTATTTATTATAAAAAGGGTATAAACGTCCGCTGTTGCCCCCCTTTTTTGGACTTAGTTTAGGTGAATGATTTTGTTGGTAATTCACGTGTGGCTGACGGACTGATGTAATATTCCTGATGAAACTACTTCGCTCTAAATCGTCTACCAGTTGAAAGATCATGGATCACACACTTCTGTTAATCAGAAATACATTCTGGCAGTCGAATTTCAATTGCTTTGAAGTTTTTGTTTCATGTTATACCGTTTTATGTTATAACTTGAACTATGGTTGCGTAGACTTTATTATCATGAAAGGTCAAAATTTTATTTCACTTCTATAGCTTTATAGGCTTTTACAATATTTAAAATATTAAGGTTTGTGCACTTCATCTTCAAATGCTTGCTCCGTCCTTCAAATAGAGACTTCTTCTCACGAATGTATAGATAAAGATGAAACATTTAAACCATTTCAGCTTCGAAGAATATACGGACATTTATAGTTTCGCTAACAACGAGTTTGGCAAGTAAGAAAAAAAAAGTTAGAAAGAAATAAAGAGATTCTTTGGCATCAAGTTGAAATAAAATATTTAGTTCTACAAAAAATAAAGAACTACAAACTTTAACAGAAAGAATACATGCGGAGAAAAAAAACGTTTTTTTTGAAAAAAAAAAAATTTGTCAAATCTGTCAGTACATATTACCTCTTTCTTGTCAGTCTCAAAAGTATCACTCTATTTTCTTAAACATTATTGCTTAAATTATTAATTTAATGATGATAAAACAATAACAATAACAAGAGTAAGTTGACATGTGATGAGTGCACATAGATGTGGTCGTCGTCCATGCTCAGCTGTTGCCGCCGCTGCTGGTGAACCAAACGTTAATATTCGACGTCCAGAATTAAATCGCAGAATCTCTTTCTATGGAAGCGATTTTTCCACTACTCCGGAACCTGTAGATGTTAATATCCTTTTTTTGTAACTACTTAAGTACTTCCTCATAATTACTTTAGCATTATCATTTACTGTTTTGCTGTAGGTACAGGTCTTCTTTTGCCATAGTTAGGGTAGCAACGGTTTCCAGAAAAAATCACGCCTCCATTCATTATTGAATTATTATGTTCAATAATTAGGTATTAACGTTTTATTTTATTATCAAGATGGGGAAAACGAATTAAATAAAGGTTTAATTTATTCTTTATGTATTTATATATGTATTTATGGATATTGAATATATAGTAGAGGATATTATTACTAGAAATAAGTGCTTATTCGTCGAAGTGTAACTGAGAACGTCATGCGCAGAACACATCGTGCCATTGTATTGGGCCTGCTCCCGCAGGGAAGTCGAGTAATCTGGCGTCTCACCCTCAGGCTAGGGCACACGGAGCTTCAGAGGCCGAATATTGTTTTTTACTTTCTGATACCTGGCACTTCTTTAGTGGGACGGGAGGGTACTAGTTCTCATCCACTTTCTTTCCTCCGAATTTTGGTTTGTACATCATTGCCTCGCTGAATGAAGTGGCGTATTCCATTTACAACATCCTATGTACTCTCACGCTCAGACGAAGTATGTAACGATTGTCTTCACTGTGATGCCACTTACACCACACGTGCCATCGCGAAGACGGCCACGGTAAAAAAATATTATTTATCTTCTGCTAATGTTTCAATTTCAGCAAAGCCCTTTGAATAAGTACTGGCAGTTAGTAGCAAAACTTACAAATACCGGATATGAGTTTTGGAAGAAAGTGTACGACGACCCATACAGGTGGCAGCTTTTCAAAAGCATAATGCTTTTTATTATGGGAATCAAATTTTCAGGAGATCTGTTCAAGTACATGAACCCATCAAAATCTGTGAAATGCGGCGCACGTCATGCCACTTGCGTAAAAATCATGAATAGAAATTCACATTAACTAAATTTTGTTGACAAACTCTTTAATACAAAAGTGTATGTGTATGTTTAAAATATAAATATATTTAGTGTGTGTTTACATTTAAAATAAAATGTTTTGTTAACGGTAATGTTTATTTCAATCAAAAAATCATGTTTAATTTATTCGAACTTTAAACTTGAACACTTCAATATTACCATATTGTATACTCTTGACTATTTTCTTTATAAACCCGTGATTGTTACAAAGTGTGATGACTACAAAATACGTATTTAATCCGCTTACTCGAAATTCGAAATATCGAAAAATCGACTCGACCGGACAGTCTCATAAAAAACCGCTGTTAAGCTATTCTTCTGTTGCTTTTCACCATGTGACTGGGGTTACTCCCTTCTTCCCCTACTTCTTGGAGGGGGGTGGGGGGAGAGGGACAACAGCAACGCACTTGGGAATTTAGAGCAACTCCGTGGGTGTCCATAGGCGGCGAGTTACTTACCATTAAAAGCCTACTTGGAATAGGAGCGCAAACGGTTTTTAAAATACCAAGCATAGTCTTATTTATGGAAAGAGCAAATTGTCGAGGGTATGATGCCATAGGGGTAGAAATTACTATGGACAGTCATTCTAAATACCAAAATTTATTTGTGTTCAATTTAAACATTACGATGTTTAAAAAAGTAATAAATTACAAGGAAATTTAACCATGAAATAATGAAATATATATCTATTAAGTTTGATGATTATAATCTAATTTGTTGATTAACATGAATAATTAAAATCAGAATTAAGATTTTAAACTTCATTTGACAGCAGTTTAAAATACAACTGAATATTTGTCGTGTTTAGGTATCTTTTTTATGCGCCATATCATTGTCAGTGAGTTAAAATTGTTGTATTGTATTGTAATAACGAGACAATTTCTTTGAGCATTTTACATGATGTCTCTACTTATAGGTACCGGTTTACTCGACTTATAAGTAGTGATGGCAAGTAAATATTCTTAAGAGAAATATAATCCAAACCCTCAGTCTTTTTAAGACACATAACCACTTGCTATTTAAGTTTACTGCTACAAATTTTATTATTGCCATCAACGTAAATTAGACTGCTGTGTTTTCTGCAACATGGCAAAGTTTTTTCTTTTTTGCAGCTCATACATGTACATATAAATATATTTCATTATTTATTTATTTATTTATTTGGGAAAACAAAAACAATAGTATAATGAGTATACATATGAAATCTTTGTAACTAAACTTAACTAATATACTACCCACTACATTTTCCACAGATTACCTTATAAAATAATTCCATTGTTAGCAGACATGAGCTGCTGCTGCCGCCGCAGTTTAATCAATAAGAAAAGAAAAGCGGTTACTCAAAAGAAAACGTTGGTAACTGAGATAAATAAAGTTTCACTTAAACATACAATAGATAAATCAAAATTAACTTTTATTGCCTACTGCCGATCCTTTATTACCGCTATTATGTCTCTTTTAAATTTAATCCTACTAACATGTAATATATCGATTGCACTAAAATGCTTATTGTATGTGTCAACTAAACGGTAAAGAGGCGAACGCAGACCAGAATTCGTTTTACAGCGTCTGGGTGTCTGGCTCGCACACCCCGCCCATGGAATGTTCGAGGAACCAGGTAGCACAAACAATTCACCAAGTCAGGGCAATCAAATTTGTTGCGGCATACACTAAAAAGAGTCATAGAGTCAAGGAGAATACGTCTGGATTTCAATGTCAACATATCGTATTTCTTAAGGAGTTGTTGGTACGATATTTTTTTACTAAAACATCTATATTGCATAGCACGAAAGTACCTACGTTGGATCAACTCTATAGCATCGTTATATATATTATTATCCATGTCTATGTTAATTCTATGCTTACCAGCTTAAGTTTATGCCCTAAGTGGTGGCAATGATACAACTGTACAAATTATTTGTTATAAACAATCCTATAAAAAGACCTAAGGCCAAAATACATGTTCAACAATTAGATGTATGGGTCATACTCAGAAAAAATGTACATTTGGCATTTTTTCTTGTCCCACTACTTTAATAGCAGATTTAAAATTTGAATATTATGGCACACATTTTTAATCATGTTTACATCTATGTTTAGTCTTTAATAGGATCTTTTTTTTATAAATAATACAATATTTTCATTAATCATAGTATAAATAGAATGGTTTTTTTTTTTATAAAATATCTAAATAGTCATTTAAATGGTAATACGATTTATTCTTTAGAACGTTTAATAAAATTATTAAAATTCATATTAATGTTGTCCCAAAATTATTACATTTCGTTACTCAGTGTTAGTTACGTGTGTATAATTCTGAACGCAGTTCGAAACTGACGGGATATAATTTTCCTAATATTGACAACATTGCTGCTTTTTATAATTCACCGTACATACAGAGGTCATTTTGTTTTCATCCGTACACGGGACTCATTGTGTTGAATTCGCATTTAAAAAAAAATACTGTCAGGGTGATATACGATTTGAATTTCGGTAAGCATATACGGTTGATTGTACTACTTTATGCCCACGTCTTAGTTATAATAATATATGGATAAATAAATTCAGTTATTGTGTATACAATAAATGGTACTAACAGAATTATTTTTCGGGGTTATAATTTCTCAGAGTTAGTCTTCAGTTTAGTTATATAGCGTTATGTTACGAAACTGAGAAATTGTAAAGCTGAGTTTACGAAGTTACTCTAATTTGAAAAATTAATTATTATCTATTAAAATTTTATTACATTAATTTAGGGGAACAGAAGTGTAATCAATGAAAATGTCTGGCTTGATTCCCGAACGTGACAATATATTTCTGTTGAACTAAAAAAAATATGATTGACTTATTATTTTACTATTTGTGTAGGTACTTGTGCAGAGTATCAGGTATTTAGGATATATTTTATTTAATTATAATTCTATTTTTATTTAATTAAGTATAATCAATAATATTATTATTTTATTAGGTTGATTCTTCAGTTACCAAAATATTTAAATAATACTGCTCCATTGCAGTAAGTAACGTTGATATCTTTTTGTTACAAATTTGTTTGTTATGGAGATTCGAGACTGATTTTCATTATGAAAGATTTTATTATTTTTAAGAAATATTGTTATTACTTACTTTCTTGCTTATTTTTTGTTTCAATTTGGACTTAACGGTTCTTGACAATTTGTTTTCTTTAGTTGCTCGAAATATGGAAGGGCCCGATTAAATTTTGACCATATTACTCCGATTATTTAATTGATTTTTTAGAAATGTGTATGATTGTTCTTAGTTATTTTTATGTTTTGAACAATAATTTGTAATTGAATTATTAATTTTCGAAAAAACTGTAATTTAATTTAATTTGTAACTACTACTAAACCTTCAATTGCATACTGATTCATACAATTGAGTATTCATTATTTTGTAGCTGGATGGTCTCTCATAATAATTGCAATCAAGCCTTTAGGCGTTATGAGTAATTTAAATTTATTAGCTAAAAAATTAAAATATACTTAAAGAGTGCGTCCATTGGTACTTTTCTTATGGTTCCTACTCCAATTAAAATACACTTTGTACTTGTTCTTCAAGAGTAGCACTCACTGCACTACGTCACACTAACTTAACTAAACAACTAAAAAGGCTTAGGGTTCTTTAGTCTTAATGATATTTTCGTATCGTTGGAATATTCAATTATTTCCATCGGGTAGCTTGAGCCTGATTTAGATTTCTGAGATATTATGTTTTTATTTAGATTAATTTATTTTTATACATATTAAAGTGCTTAAATATCTAAAACTGATGTTTTATTATTTTTGTAACTTTTGATGCGTGTTCTGTTCAGTATGTACCCTGCTTTACAATATCAGTTTCGTCACATTGATTCTCCATTTCGTTACTTATCAGTTTATTAACAAATGGCAAATGTACATTTTTTCTGTGGTCATATCCACACGGACATGACCACAGAAAAAATGAGTAGGACAGTGGTGACACTCTGTATTCTTAATCCGTCACCACACGGTGACGGATTAAGAATACAGAGTGTCACCACCCCTATTCATCCCGTGGGTGTGGTAAGAGCCGACTCAGGGAGCAAACTACGCAGGACAACAGCACTGCAAAGAGAAGGTAAACTTGACACAAACCCTATACCAACCCGTCTGGCCAGCGTGGTATAGTAGGCCAAAGCCTCCTTTCTAAGAAGAGGTTTATGTCCAGCAGTGGACTGTTAAAGGCTGTTGATGATGATGACATTTTTTCTGAGTATGACCAGTTATACACTACGACTAACTAAGCGGATTAACAACGAAATTAGTACATCAATCTCGAAAACTACCCATTAATGGCGATCACTAATTTAACAGTATTTTATATTTTTTTAATGATAAGAGTTGCAATGCATCAAACTAGGTAAAATTAGCTTGAAATCTAAAATTGCACTCAGTATATTAAGTTGGTGATCTTTGTTCTTCTCGTTTTAAATTAATTTACTATTTGGTTAAGTACTACGACGTAAAAATAGTATGGACATAATTATGGAATAATATACATGTTACGTCCTAGAAAAATACTGTACGCTTAAAAGTTATTGTCTTTGACAAATTAAAAAAAAACGGTCACCTTTTATTATTTGTCATTTGAATATTAGCGCTAATGTTTTTTGAAATAGAAAAATATTTTTCATCAATACACTAGCAGAAATTTATTAGCCGCTATGGAATCTTAAATAAGAGTTGAAGTTATGCACGGGTATTGTTACCTATGATCAAGAAGGTATCGCATGATGTGCTCACAAGATTTTGAACAATGGCACTCAACTACTGTAATATAATAGCCAGAAATTTATGCTACCATGTAAAGGCAAATTTGTGAAAAATAACACTTTCTTCTAGTGATGCAATTGATAAAGATGAGCCTTAAAGAACCCCCAGAAAAATCAGCTCCTCAACCACGTCTCGAAGACTCTCTAGAAGATGTTGTTCTGTCACACTCTAAAGATGGCCTTGTAGTGAATAGTAAAACTTCTATTCAATTACCTATTCTACCACCTGTTGTCATTGACCAAAAAAAGCATGGAGGCACTCGACCGATACCATCTGCAGAACACCTTCCACCAGAACATATTCAATCAGACATGTCTTCCGAAGAATTTAGTTCTTCTCCATCTTCTCAAGTGAATATTCTTTTAGAATACGTACTACATTATCAACTTTATCAAATTATTATTTATCTATTTGTAGTAATGATTTTTTCTCACTGACATTTTTTTTTGGATTTAGAAATACGTCCTTACTCCAAAGTTCTTAAGACTCTTTTGACTCATTGAGGGTAAAAGTTTCATAGTCACCTACGCCATGAGTGACCTGGCCCCATTATAAAAAATGTTTTAATATTATTGTATAAATGAAATTGCTGAAAACAATGGCGATAAGCGTAACTACCGACGTACCAAAGTGTCACAGACATATTTTGGACAAAAATAAACACGTGGCGAAAACGCGACAACCATGGTTTTAACTAGCGGTGATTCGTCTATACAATACATAATATTTTTCTGATTACAGCCTTCTTTTATAGAAACGCTCTTAAGTTTTATACAACACGGATTTGTATTTTGGAGGAGGGTGTTCAGCGATTCCTTCCGGTGGCAGATCTTCAAGAGCTTACTACTCTTTGCGGCGGGACTCAAGATATCCAAAGAATACTACAAACATGCGAACGCAATAGAGACGCCTCCCTCAAATGTAAACGATAGGAAAGCTTGGCTGGAAAGATGTAAAAAACATAAAGAAAGAAAAGGAGTCATAGGCAATTCAACAGCAAAGTGATTAGTTAACATTATATCCATTTACTTTTAATCATAGAACTGTACTAGCTAACAATTTTACAAAAATACATTGTAATAAACACTATACTGATTACTTTCTTGCCTACTAAGTATAAGAATTTTGAAAGCTATTTTACAAATAAATGTAAGAAAATAATTCTTTTATATTATTTTCTATCAGGTAAGCCATTGAAGCTCAGGCGTCAAAAGAAATTGATTTTGAATGTTGATTAGAAAAATGTAACAAAGAACAATGCAAAAACCCGTGGTAGAGCCTTGTTTCGGCACAATTGGGCTGCCTCAACCGGAGTGATAACACAGTCTCACAGAAAACCATTTTAAACAATTCTTTCTTGCTTATCACCGGAATGAGTAAGATTACCGGAGACACTGTCCCATATATAAGGCGCAATAAAAGTTTCCCTGTTCAGTACAGTGGGATACAGATCAGTAACCTCTAACAGCTCAGGTAAACAAATGAAGTCATTTATTACCTTAAACAGATACATATCAATAGCGTTCTTACGGATTTTCGAACGTTTGTAAGAATTATTCTTAATGCGTAATTTCTGCAAAGTAACTTTATTCTATGCCCATTACCTTGAATGTCTTTGAATTTTAATAGTTTTAATTCTTAATCAAGTTCATTCTTGTTCATTCATTTAATTTATAATAAATACCTTAAAATATATATTATTCTTAAAATATAAATTAAATGTCGCTTTAGTTTAGTGCCTAACGATTTTTAAAAGTGAACGTTAGGCACTAAATAATGATTACAATCTTTAAGCCATTATGTTTTAATCATGAATGTTGAATGTTGATTACTTAGAATAGAATATAGGTGAAATTCATTTAAAGCGATCTGTATCCTCATCATGCACCATGAGTGGGATACAGATCAATACCCTCTCTAACAGCTCAGGTGAACAAATAAAGTCATTTATTACCTTAAAAAGTAAAATTTTATCCATAGCGTTTTTACGTACACTTAAGGATTATTCGTAATGCGTAATTTCTGCAAAGAACTAATTTCTATGCTTAACTTGAATGTCTTAAATTACATTTACCTACTCGATATTAAAAACTATTTTAAACTTTTCAATCATAGAGGCTTAAATCATAGAAACACACACAACAATCAATATTTCAAGCGTGACACCGGCAGGGTGTCGGTTTCCGTCAGATTCTCTAAGCAAAATTGTTGTAAAGTAACAGTCACAGAAATTGTCGTTTTAACCAGAACCCCTGATGAAGAATTAACATTGATATAAACAAAAAACATCCTAGATATGAAACTATCCTATATTTATTGAGAAGTAATTGAAATGTTGCCATGTGATGACTGCATGTCGCATATCAACGTGTTCGAATGAAGCGTGCGGTGAAAATGATAAGAAAGATGATGAATCGAGAATTAAAACTCCATACCACAAACCTTCGATTTTTACACCGCCCCTTTCCGTAAGTTTTATTACAACTGTCAAGTAACGTGCATAACGCCGCGCCCCGGTGAAATTGCAAATACGCGTTACAGCAATTTGCAAAACCGCGTATCAATATTTTCTAAATTTTAACAGGCGGAAGAAATAAATAATTATCTGGAGGAACTTCTTTGTTTGTTCTTTTGCATAAAGAAGAATGAGTTCCTATTGTAAGAGAGTGATATAAATTTACCAATAACTCTATCATGTACTATATATCCTATTAATTAAATTTGCGACTTATGTTGATCCAGTATGAGATAGCGTAATACGGATGTAGGAGTATGTATGTTTACATTGTATATGGTAAATAGATAAAAACTTAACTAAAACAAAAAAAAAAGTCTTAAATACCGCTTATTTATCTGTTTATTCATCAAAACATCAAACAATATCCTTTTCTTTAATTATTAACTAAGTTAATATAATTAATAAAGTTAATATAATCTTTAAGTTTTCTATATTTACTTTTATTATTACTTGCATGTGAATTTAGATTACTTAGAATAGAATATGGGGAACATATCTTAAGGCGGAATCTTCATCCACCAGCTTTTTTGTTACTTTAGTCGTTTTCCCATGAATCATCAACATTTTTGTTGATTTGTTTGGCCTTAACTCTTTATAACACATACAGAAAGATAATAAGAAACTTGTTATTATCTTTGTGTTCGTGTTCTTTTAATTTATTTAGTTGGGTATGCGGGTATGAATACTTTCTCATTTTGACTGTAGTCAATTTCTCTCATAAGCAAAAGTTAATAACGTGACTAAAAAGTTATGGATTCATTTATATAATAGGTTATGACAATATATTATTAAAACGATATTTACGACAAACATAACATGAGAACATAACAAAGTACGTTAAGAAGTAACAGTTATTTACCAAAACTGAGGCAACTATTTCATGACTGTGATCAGCACTCAAGATTTAAAAATCAATTATCGTCGACTAGGTGTCTTATTATGTAAAAGAATTGACACAACCCCCCGAATATATTGAGTGTCGCACACTGGTGTGCGACACTCAATATATTCGCTTTCTGAGCTTGCTACATTATTGAGTGTGATTATTTGTTTTCAATTGCTTATGTTTTATTACAGTTGTGCGACAGAATAAAACTTCTGAAGAGGAAGTGCGTTAGAGCAATAAATATTGTTTATGCGGCTTCAAGGAAGATTTACTACAATGATCGATTCACATGGCAACTGTTAAAAAGTTCAATTTTATTCGTTTTGGGTATGAAAGTCTTTTACGACATTTATAGGTATGTAAACCCGGACTGTGGGACTTTAAGGGTCACTTACGTACAGGTTTTGGCGGATTTCATATTGATGAAGGTCGGGATTTCGAATTGCATGTGTCGGTGTTCCTAGTAAATCAGGTATCATTCTACTTGTATAAACAAAAGTATATCATAAATTGTAAAAGTATTTTATTGTATATTAATCTCATTACTTTCATGCATATATCACCTATTGTGGCGAATATTGTAACCAATCGCAAGTAAAGTTACAAGAATAAAAAATAAGAATACCGGTCTAGTGCGAATAGAACTCGTGTTTCCAAGGTTCCGTATCTACCCAGATTTTACGTAGATTTTCGAGAAAACTTGTAAGTATCAAAATTTACCTTAATTTTCAATTTTTTATTTTTCGGAATTTTCCCTTTATTTGTGCTGTAAGACATTACTTTTTGCCCAATTTCGTGATTCAAAACCTATATAGGGTATTATAGGGTACTTCCGGTTGATCTAGAATTGTCAATTTTGGTTAAAACCAAGCTCTTACAGCACAAGTAAAGGGAAAATTACTAAAAATAAAAAAAAGTTGAAAATTAAGATAAATTTTGGTACTCACAAGTTTTCGCGAAAATCTAAATTTGCCCATATCATTTTATCGTGTTGACTCAGGATCTTGACTTTTATAAGCCTAATAGGAACTATAGACCTCAGTATCTGGTATAAATTTCAACTTCCAAGGTCCACCTTTTCCTGAGAAAATCGGTGGTGACAGAGGGATAGACAAACGAACAGACGGACAAGAGAGTGATCTTATAAGGGTTTCTTTTTTACCTTTTGTACGGAATCGTAAAAAGAAACAAAATGACATAATTGCTATATTTAATTCTAATATTTATATTTTTTATTTAATACTCTCTGCAAAAACATTGCATAAGGCGGACTTATGTCATAGACGTTTTCTTCCAGTCGACCTTTGGGTGATGCAGAGCTGTATGTAGGTGTGTAATTGAAGCTAATTAGATAAATGACGGCTTAGTGGTCGATTCGCACAAACTGAATTTGTTAGTGTGCGAATCGACACTTCTCAAAAAATGTACTGGCTATTCGTACACATTTTCTTAAATGAAATTTATTTAAGCTTCGCGCTTTACTGGTCACTGTTCTAACCTAACCTATTCCAAATTTAACTTTACCGTATATTAGTCCGTAAGCCGTTAGAATGCAGCTTGTCGAAGTCCATGAGCGGCAGTTACCGTTTATCACCAGGTGGACCCGCTGGCTCGTCTGCCATCATTGGCAAAAAATGTTTTTGTCGAATATACAAATATGCACACAGGTATTTTTTTTCTCGTTAAAATGCAAAATGTGCGAATCGACCACAAAAAAAATTAATTGAAAAAAGGGTTGTTTCGCACAAAGTGTGCGAACAAAGAACAGTGGCAGAAACCTATTTGCACAAAACTTAAGCGTTTAAAAAATTGACTCACAGTATACTTAATAAATATTTTTTACTATAATTTATCATTACAGCACCATGTGTTGTACAAGTCTTATAAGAGATAGGATATTTTTGAACATTTAATTTGACCTAAGTACCTACGTAATGACAGATAGGTCATCACGTATTACTGACTAGGGAGGCGTGATGGCATTATCATATCAGTGTGTGGTGCTTATTATTGTATCGGTTGAGCAAAGTATGAATATATTGTAAGATATATTACTAAACTGTTCCAGAAAATATAAGGGAGCTGTTTCCTTAACACTACCATCGGCCGGCAAAACGCTTGTGACTCCTAAGTTGCCGGCGTCTATGGGCGGCGGTAGTCGCTTTCCTTCATCTGATCCGTCTGTTAGTTTGCTCCCTATGTCATAAAAAGAAACATTTGAACCACAATGATAAAACAATTGATGGCTAAATGAAATATATTGGATATCGCCAGGCGGTCGAATTTCGACCATTTTTAATGTCCTGATTTATTTAATTGGAAAATAGAACTTGACAAGGGCCGCCTAAGGTAGCCAACTAAGAAGGATAATAAAACTCCAAAGAGTAGGAAAACTTGACACAGACATAAAAACCTTTTTTTTCCTATAAAAACCCCTTCGGGTCGTCACTCCACCAGGATTTGTCGGGTGATGTGTCGGAATCGGACCGATTAAAACCACACGGTGTGCTACTCTTCTAGGGATCCGGGAACTGCTGTTATAAAGACATCCGGACTGGCCAGTGTGGTGTAGTACACCGAAACCTCCTTTGTTAGGAAAGTCCTTTGTCCTCCTTTGTCCACTGCTGGACATAGGTCCAGCACTGGAATATTAAGGGCTTGTAATGATAAAACTGAAACTCATTGTAGGTATAAACTTTTGGACCATGATAAGTCAAACTATAAACTGGACCCCAATCATTATTAGGCCCTTACATATGAAATTGGCGTTTTGTACGGGTGGAAAAAAAATTGACTCTATATGGAGTCAATTTTTTTTGTAAAATATATTTAAGTAATCAAAGTATGAACCGTTGTTATCTATGCACTTTTGCCATCTCATAGGTAGTTCATTGCTCCCTTTACTAAAAAAAACATGAGGGCGAGAATCAATAAACTCTTTGAAGGCGGTTTGGACTGCCGCATCGGAGTTGAATTTTTTCCTTGTAAGAAGTTGTCCAAATTCCGGAACTAATAGTAATCTGTTGGAGCAAAGTCCGGGGAGTACGGTGGCTGTCGCAGCCATTCCAATTGTAGCTCATCTAACTTAGTGGTTGTTTGTTGTGCAGTGTGTGGTCTTGCGTGGTCGTGAAGCAGCCTAGAGCGATTGACAAATCTCGGTTGTTTAGCAGCTAGTTCTTCCTTCATGGTTTGCAGTTGCTGACAATAGATAACTGCCATAATCGTTTGGTCAGCTTTTAGAAAGCTGTAGTGAACGACACCGGCGCTAGTACACCAAACACTCACAAGTGACTCTTTCTGAGTCAATTTTCGTTTAGGTCAGGATTTGGGTGGGTCTCCAGGGTTCAGCCATTGCGACGAGCGCTCCGATTATCGTACAGTATCCACTTTTCATCACAAGTAATGATTCGATTTAAAATCCCTTCATTATTGTGTCGGTTGAGCAAAGTAACACAGCAGATGACGCGTGTTTGCAAGTTCGATTCACTCAATGAGGTTTACTTTGCCTATTTGCTTCAAGTGGATTAATACAGTTTTATCACTTACCTCGAAGCCTGCAGCTATCTCTGAAGTGCTTTGTGATGGATCCGCTTCCACAATAGCCTTTAATTCTTCATTTTCCACTTTGGTCTCCGGAAGTCCACGGGGTTGGTTCTGAAGGTAAAAATTCCTAGAACGAAATCGTTGAAACCAAAAACGTATCGTGGTTTCTTTTGCAACACCAGCACCGTACACATCATTAATCCTTCGAGCTGTTTCGGCAGCACTGATGCCACGGTAGAACTCTTACTAGTAAATATACCGATATTTCATGTTTTCCATTGTGCGGTAATAAGCGACGCCAAAGAAAATAATAATGAGGAAAATACAAATGAATGAGTGTTTCAAAACTCAAATGTACCATCTAAATGAATTTATAAATTAAAATTTGGAATTCTTAATCAAAGAGGAGATATTTCAGATCAAAGTGGTCAGTACGACAAAACGCTAATTTCATATGTAAGGTTGTTTCAACCTGATATATGTAGCCGTAAAGAATGGTTCTTTTGACACAGTTTGAAAATTAAAATATGCCTATAAAATTGAGTAAATTACTTCATATAGACGCTTACATGATATACGTACTCCAATGATTAGTCTGTTGATCCTAACTGCTAACCCATGCCAGCCAGCATGGTTTAATATTATGCAAAGTAACCATTTAAAGAAGTTTACGATTTTAATGCTTTATAAATGACAAGGCTTCTAATATAAGTTAATTTATGCAGTGCATTTTCGCAAAGTAAGCACGTGCCTAGGGGCGCGAGGTTACAAAGGGGCGCGGGTGCAAATTTTTCAAGAAATAAAAAATGTATGCTTAACTTAAAAAGAACCGTGTCAGTAATTATGCACATACTTACACAATATAAACAATTCCTTAATTCTATAGAGATGTTTGAAGTTTACATCTAGGATTTATTTTACGTAATTGCCACTATTTCTTTGCTTTCACTTTCTGATACTTAAGAAGATGGAGGCATTGGATTGCATGTACACAAAAATACAGTTGCTACAACTGCAGTTAGCGACAGCTATGATCGCCCAGAATAAGACGCGCCTTTGAAGATGCTAATCTTCAGAGGGTAGTGGTGGATCTCTCCCATGAGATTTAAAGGCGGAAATAAAATAAGTGGCTTAAGGTCGCTTGCCGCGCCACGATGACTCGTTGAACGTCCCGGCTGGAGGCTCAATGTACTGGATTTGGCGTCGTGGAGGCATTCCAGCCGGTCATCGTCTCAAGGTGCTCGGAACTCTTTCCTTTTAATTGACGCAGTTGTTTTCTCGGTACGTCTGCTTAGGAAGTTATCAGAAGTCGATCGCTAGGAGTGAAAGTGCGCCTGTCACCATTGCAGTGCATTTTGAACTCGGCTCAGCACACACTCGTCGGGTGCTTATTGCAGTCATCGGATTGGATACGGGCCAGGTAATGCACGTGGCTCAGGTGGCGGAGGTAGCTGAATGACTTCTACCCCGCATAAGTGCAGGCCTGAGGGTGACAGGTGAGACCATCTATCACTAAAAGAAGTGTGTAGTTCGGTTCGGTCCGGTTTGATTCCGATGCACCGTCCCACCACAAACACCGGTGTAGTGACAGCTCATGGGGGTTTCCACACGTAAAAAGTAAAGTTCTAGTAAAGAAAAGACAACTAATATTTGTAGGCATCATCATTTGATATCACACATTTATTCACAAATATATTATGTCACACATAGACATTTAGCATCGTCAACTACTAGCTATTGAAAATATTGTATGGGCCCTAGAGAGGCTGGGTTGAGGAGGGGTGCCGATGAGATGCTTGCCTAGGGTGCTGTTGATACTTAATCCGCCTCTGCTCAAGTTGCAGGGACTGACGTAAAAAAAGTGTGTCAATTATCATATTAAGCAAGTTTTACGGTTTTAATATATAAAAAGATTTAGCAGACATCAAACCCATGTTAACACACTTAAATCAAACATTTTCTATGAAAAAATTAAACTCATGCTAAGCTATTTATTTGTAGCATAATTAAAATCATTTAATCCAATCAATGTTTTAATTACAAGTTTTTCCAAATATCAAAGAAAATTATAATTTTTCAACATACGATCACAACACGTGCACAAGTTTACTAGTTTACATAATAATATATTTTTAAAATATGAATTTAAATGATAAAAATAAAACTGGTTTGAAACGTAAATACAACCTTCAAGTTTTTACCTGGTCATTTGGAATTTCTAAGCAAAGACTAAGTAATGTTGGTACTTTAAATATTGTTTAGCTCTAAAAAAAAATGTTTTTACAACGCCAGCAGTATCGGGGAATCCCTTTAGTTAAGAAAAACGTTATGCAAATACTATTTGTCACATAGGTTATTGAAACTAATTTTTAACTTCTGAAGAAAAAGGGATCATCTATTTTAAAAAAAGCAGGACATCTGATTCTGATCTGATTGACCTAGAACATTTTTGTTATTCATTGTTCGTGATGGGTTGGATTTTGAGTTGAATTTGTGTACTTTGTGTTAGCGATCCCATTACTAAGACATGGGTTGTCTGCTATAAGCGCTTTGGGTGTGTCGCAGGATGACGGGGCTGGTTTTCAACTCCAAACGCCTTAGTGGATATCCGCGAAGGGGCAACGTCCGTGTACCATCAGTGACGTCATACATCTATACCTATAGGAGTGTGATATAAGTACCTGAAGAAGCGTTTTCGCTTAAGAGACTATGACGCTACTAGAGGGACCACTGGTGACACAACAGCAGTCGTTCTATTTCAGTATCGCACACTTTGAGATTGGTAGGATTCTAACACACGGCACGACGGAAAACAACAGAAAAATACAAAGTTTGTAGGGTTTTCACATATACGAAAATCTTGTTATCGTGTATGTCAAACCCTACAAACTTTTAAGGAAAAGGCTTATTACGTACAAAACAAAATATAAATGCCCTTTCACCTTCAACAAGTCTTCAAGAAGTTGGCATATTACCAGCCACTAGAAATGGCTAGACAGTTTAGTAAAGGGTTGTTTTAAGATAGCTTCTTTAAAAGTTCATTGAAACTAGAAACATAAACATGTTTACGATAACGATACTTTTATCATTACAGAGGTTTTTAACAAAAATCATCAAATTAAAATGATGTTGTTAATCACTGTCAGTAAATAATAAACAGTTCATCTATTGTGTGAAAAGGTTCTTAGTTACCAAAAAACCCTTCACGTGACACGCGAAACGGTTTTTTCTTTTGTAATTTTTTTATGAAAATGGTTAATCTTAAGTTTAATGAATTTCTTTTTCTGATTACTAAAGAATTTTCGTAATTACAGTCTTATTAGTGTCATGTCACGACGTAACTATTTTACAATAGGACATAGAACACATAAGCCAGTGGTGTAGCAACAACCAGATGCTCCTCATTTTTAGCAAATGCTATCATATCAAGTTCAGCCGCAAGCTAACATTTATTTAATCTAAGTATTTTATAGAAGGTATACTCATACAAGAAGTTGATACAATAAGGGACTTAAGAATATTTTTAGATAAAAGCTCACTTTTCAACCTCATTTGCATCATATCATTAACAAAGCATCCGAAATGAAGGCCTTAAACTAAGATACTTTTATTGAACACTTTGGTTCGTAGTATACTCGAATACTGCCCCACCGTTTCGAGACCATTATTCTACTCATATTTTGAGATTAGAAAGAATTCAGAAGCGTTTCATGTGGCATTTGGCATTCACAGTCGGAATCGCCAAAACTAGTAAAAAGTATGAAGAAAGACTGTCATTCTTCAAGCTACTGTCGCTTGAAAAGAGAATAACACTTCTAGAGCCGAACCTCTTTTACAAGTTATTGCACAACCATTTGGATTGCTCAGTGCGAAAGGGTGAAGTTTAACGCCCCCAAGCGTCTTCCGCGTAAACCAATGGCCATGATGCGATTTAGAAGAACAATTCTGGGATATACTTCACCAGTTCCCAGAATGTGCAGAGCTGTAAAAGAATATTGCACAAATTAAATTTTTACTATTTTTATTTTCGGGAAATAGTTGGCGATATTTTGGCACTGCTGCAAACCCCATGATCACGGATGAAATGATGAACACTCAGTTCATCCGTGATCAAATAAACATGGTAATTGTCCCGTTTATAATAATTACTAATCAAGCGAAAATGATCATTATAGTTTGAATCACTACAGAAATCTTTGTTTACATAAATTTGCTTATAAAGTTTATTATTTTTTAGTTCGGCTAGTTACAAAAGCGTGTTTTTTAGTTTTTTTAACCATTAATAATTTTAGTGAAATCGTTTAACGTGTATTTTTATATTACAGAAATGTGGAATTGAAATAATGAAATGAAGTTTTCTTCGAGGTAAAGATTTACATTTATTGTTTACCATATTTTATAGAATGGACTGGACAGAAATAATAAGAGTCATGAATCTACTAGTCATGTTCCGCATAGTGGTAGAAATAATAAAAGACGATTTCTATGAATAAAATTTGTGTGATATGTTGTTTTATATAGAACTAAATCCTTGTATTCAGATTTCAAGAATGACACAATGTTAATTTTGCTGAATGCTGTGGTTCCTTGTGCCTAAAATAAGGAAAATCGGAACTTAAGTTGTCTCTATTAATTTACCCGCGTCATCAAGGCATGATCATAAACTAGTCGCTTTTTTTTAAATATTTATTGTTGATAACCTTAATGTTGTGTGGCGGGCAGTCAGGGCCGGTTAAGTCGACTATCAGTCTCGCACCGACCGTCCTCTCGACCACAATATTATTGACAGTCTTGTCTCATTCTTGTGTTTATTTTTTATTAACAAAATAAAGTGCCATAAAATGAAGAGTCAGTGTGAAAAAAAGGTTGTGATTTTATATTTCTTAGTGGTTACATTGTCTATTGCTGATGGCCGTAAGTATTGTTTACTTTGCTTTAAAAACAAGTTTTTAATTCCGGTGACCTTAGTGCATAATATAACCTCTGTAACCTATGATATAGGTAATGTTTACTTATCTGTGCGTGGTAAAATCATAGACTCAATTATTAAAATTAAAATCATAGTTCTTACTACATTAAAGATTATTTCATGAACAAACGCTTTTGTATTTACAGAGAAGACTATACGGTTTTTTTAAGAATATACCTACATGTTTTGTGGTTTCTTAGCATGTTTAATTATTTACAAGAACCAGTGTAGTATTCTTTATGTGCGTAGGCAATCAAAAGAATTCATCGACCTGTTTATGTGTACATAGATTGTACGAGTATATGTCAAAGGTGAATATTTTAAGTCTTATCCAAACAATACCAAGTTGTTACAGTCCCTAGTTTAAGTAAGGTATAACATTCAGATAATCTTAGTTAGATTTAATTTATTGGATTTTAATTTTTTATGTCTCTACATATGAATATATACCGAAAAGCTATCCTACATAGTAAATAAGTTACTTGTTACCGACAATCTATTAAGACATTTCAATTTAAAAGATACTGGATTTCTTTATTAGCACGTCATAAGTAAGGAATAGATTATTAATTATTTCTTTAATTGCAAGCAAATGGATGAGGATTCTTCTTCTGTTCTTTGTTAGTTATTCAAATTTGATATTGCGTTATTGTTGACAATTTCCAAAGGCGGTAGGTAAATTCAAACGAAGGAAAAACATGATCCTCAACAAAGTTAACTGATATCACATTTTTTATTTCTGTGCTACTATCATGTTTTAGCTCTATTTTGCACTTGAAAACATTAAAAGCAAATTTATGTAAAAGAAGATTTCTAAATTAATTTAAACTATAATGATCATTTTCGCTTGATTAGTTATTATTACTGAGTTCTCATCAGTTCATCCGTGATCATGGGGTTTGCAGCAGTACCAAACATCGGAAACTATTTCCCGAAAATAAACATGGTAACAAGCCCCTTCTTTTTTGAATTACTTATCAAGGAACTAATAATACGAACATAATTGTTTTTTTGTAAGCTAAACCCCCCCCCCCCCCCACGTTTTTATGGTATAAGGGGGCAAACGAGCAGACGGGTCACCTGATTGTTACTTTCGCACATACCTAAACACTTACAATACCGACCCTGGCCGTACTGCTTACTTCTATAAAATTCTGATAAACCTACACAACAGAACAGCACCTATGCTGTTTTTTTATAACCTGTCGCTTTTAGCTCAACAACTAGGGAAGTGGCTTCTGGATAAGACCAGATTTAGAACTTGTGATCTTACCATATTTTTATTGTTATACTATAAACAAAGGTTTTCCGACCTAAAATCACAGATACAAAAACCAACCCATGTTTCACCCAAGAACCTGTATAATACAATATCCGTTTCTTCATAATCTGACTCAATAGAATAATTGGAATGAACAACATAATATGTCGTTTTTTTTCACGAAGAAGTTAACAATTTATCGGACTTATAAAATATGCAAGGAAATCCAAGGCAGATTTATTTGTAGTGCCTAAAGCTTTACGAAATAAATATCTTCTAAAATAGTCTGTGGCCTAGACAATAGATTAATTTACTTGCTTCCCATCCATAACGTGATGTATCTTCAGTGTCTTAGAAGATATATTAGAAAAAAATAAATTTCTGTACGAACATTAAGGACAGTAGGAACTACATAACTACTATCGCTTTACATCTGGAAACAAAATTGGACCCTTTTAACAGCCGAGGTTACAGGTACACGCACATTGCCGTCAAACTGATTTTTTTTCTAAGATTTGTACTGCAATTGAGAATTGACTATCAAAAATAATAAAGTTTAGCAGACTCGGGCAACCTTTACAAGTAGCGTTATGAAAATCAATTTTCTTTACATGTAGCGTGTTACTCACTATTATGGTATTCTAACACTACGTAAATATTTATAGCAATACACACCACATGAGCATCTCTAGCATGTTGACATGACGGTTGTTAGGATTGAGCGTAAGGAAGGAACAAACGTGTTTTAGATTTTATCTGAAACTTTTTATAGAGACTATAGCACTACGTAATTTTTCGCGAAATGACTGTAAATTTTTTAAACATCTATCTACTTAAATTAGTACGTGACAACGGACGCAGAAAACCTCACTTTTTGAAAGAAGACTGTATTTTCTTAATTGAATTTCTAGTGGAATAAATGCCGTTACAAGACTGACGAACAGGGGAGGTTAAGTAACAGTTCACTTTGGCTAACCGTAATGACGCAACCATAACCACTAGCTGAATTTAAAAAAAAGTTTACTAAAATTTTAAGAAGATGTATGTTGCTAAAAATTTCAGCTAAAGTAATTAATATTTAAATAACAATAATAACTTCACACATCGCACACACAGCCCTCTGATCCGAAACTAGATATAGCCAGTGCTCAAAAAATTAACACAACTATTTTACTATAATTATAAGTATTATAATAATAACAAAGTGTAAATAGCGTAATGGTTTATGTATAAAAAGGGAATCCCTCTTGTCGCATAACAAGCCCGTCTAAGATTAGGAACCTCCAAGAACCATTACCTATTAAACATTTTCACCTTCGCTCGCCCCCTCCTCATATCTCTAATTTAGTAATATTTATATTTGCCTATAAGACTCAAAACTTAAACTCCTTATGAATTTGTGTTAGTTGCAAAGTTAAATACTTATAGTAAGTAGTTAAATTTCAGTCAACGATTCATGGAAGTAGTTTAGACTGATTGGATTTAGGTATCTATATTAATTCTTCAAAAATATTAGTAATAAAATAGTCGTTAAAAAAGTTGACTCATCTATTTGTTTATCTATAATTTTAATTACACTCAATAAGAAAGACAACGGACTATTTTGAATAATTATTAATCAATTTTAGCAATTAAATATTGAATTTTAATTATCTCAAATTAAAAAGTCAAAATTAATTGAAATTAGTCTAATGACAATAGTTTCATTAATAATTGCACTTGTAAACGTTAAGTTTTAAAATACCATTATGGGCCAAAGTATTTGAACGTGTTCGCTATCTACATGACCACCACGCAATGGGCAATCGCATTTCTCATTAAAACCATCAATTATATCCCTCCAAGTTTCTTCTGTATCTGGCATCTACAAAGAAAATGAGTAGTTTAATACACTGTTAAATGCACCGAACTTAGCTCAAGAACCTTCGGTTTCAGATTAAAATAAGGAAGAGTTCAATGTACCACGTACACCTACAACAACAATAAGAAAAATAAGTTCTTCCATTCAAATGTTGATGCATTAGAAAAGGTTTCTTCTCAGAAATTTTCTAACGCAGGTGATGATGATGATAATGATGAATTTGTTTGTTTGAGTACACTACAGCTTTAAACAGGTACGTCAGAATCTTTTGGAATATGCACTAGAAACTCAAAATGTTGTCTACAATTAGAAAACAACGAATGAGAGTAGCAAAATTTACGCAGACACCATCCAACGATCATCTTCAAAATCAGGGTCCATTGCTTCTACCAGTGGTGTCACCACTAATGATACAGAAGACGAATATTCCATGGGATGCAATAACGACAAACCTTCACAAGCCATTACAAACATACCAAATATGGACAAAGAATTGGACCGAGAATCGGATTATCCTAATTATAACATTTAACCTGAGTTGTTGATTGTTAAATAAAATTGTTAAAAAAATTATATACTACATGGTTACCACCATGTAGTAAATAATTTGAACTCGCATGGTAGTAACTTTAAATTGTTTAGATATTTTGTTGGACACTTTATAAAAAAATTAAATTGATGTCCACTCATTCGAAAATAGTTTGTTTAGCTCTCAGGATGTTTACGCTAACCCAGAGATTAACAGTGTGACACCCAGATGCTTTCTTGTGAACTATCTTCGAATCCACCAACGTTTTGACTTTCAAGAAGATATTTTTTGTATTATCATTTATATGACAACATTTTGCAATGCAAAATATAGCTTTGATATTGACGGAGCTATGATTATAGCGATGTTGATATTTCACGACACTGTAAACTACTTGTTTCGTAACGTAAATTCCGTTTAACAGTTATCCACAAAGTTAATACTGTTAAGTAACTTCCATAATAATTTCAAAGTGGTTGATCTCTTGCATACGTTCTTGATAAGAGGTAATAATTGCACTCAGGAATTGTTCACGCTTGATGGCGGGACGTATGTTGTTTTTTTTTTCAACTTTATGCATTTTTAAAGAATGACCAGTATTGCTACATGACATCATTTGCAAAAAAGCATAAAGGCATATCATTTTAAATCAGGGTTAATTTCATGAATTGTCGGCTGTATAACAAATGACTAAGTTTTCGTAACGGGCTTTTCTAATTAGTTTAAGTACCTACAAATCAATACCTAACTAGAGCGATCGTTAAGTTATCAATATAATATTATTATGATTATACAGCCAATACAACATCGAAGATGAACTCAGTAGCCATGGTACAATTTGCTATCGACGAAAGAGTCCATTATTGGATCATATCAATTTCAACGCAGACGAACATAAATTATATAACGGTACTACCAGTAATACATTATTTTTTATCTGTTAACTAGACGTTCTATTTCCAACGAATCAATCGAGTGCGCTCTACAAATGATTCCAACTCTCATCGTAGTAATATGTCGATGATATATGAAATCCGTTTTTGGAATGGTATTTGCCTATCATCTTAATTACTTACGTAGTTTATTCATCGATGACGATAGTTGCGTACCCAAAACTAGTTTTTTTTTGTTAATACATAACATAGAGAACTAGTAACAAGAACATTAGCATTATGCTTGCTAAAACAAATAATGATATAAGAATTACTAAGATGTATGTAACCTGATGATTCAAAGAGACTCAAATCGCGCCAGCTTATTTTTTACGTGGGGTCTATGCTTCGACACACATGGCCCAGCTCGACGGTTCGAACCACGGCCTTACAGAAAACCGGGGTTCAGCCATTCTTTCGTTGCTTTTCACCCAGTGAGTGGGGTTACCCCCTAATTTGGGAGGGCGGCGGTAGTCATTTACAATTACGTGAACCGGCTGCTCATTTGCCCCCTTAACTATAAAAAAACTTACAAACCCTATGTAGAGCTTTAAAGCAGAACCTTGGGTGCATTCAATTGAGAGACTACTTCCTATTTACCGTTTTTCATTGCTTATGGACAGTCAAACCACCGTGATATTGTTTATTGTATTCCAATGCCCTCTCTTCTAAACCTGTCTTGTAATGGGAAACATTAAGCTGGGAGTAGTTCTTTTGCAAAGCTTTGGTGCTTGCGTAGTTAATTGGCAGTTTATAAAAAAATGAAATAAAAATTAGAGTATGAATTAAAACAAGTAAGTATGGTATAATTTTATACTAATGAGAACACAACTTGATAATAGTTGCTTTGATAACATGATGCTTTTATATTAGTTTATTTTATGAAAAAGTCAAGGCGCTATTGCCTAGACATTGGCACACAGTTTATAGCGCTTTTATTGATTACATGACGAAATAATAATAATAACTTCACACATCACACACGGCCGTCTGATTCCAAACTAGTCAGAGCCTGTGCTATGGTAACCAAACTGCTGATAAACATACTTTATATATTTCTAAATACATACATATTATAGATAAATTACACCCAGACACTAAACGAATCATCGTCACACAATTATTTTTCCTGGGAATTGAACCCACGACCTCTGGCTTAGGCGTCAGGGTCACTAACCACTAGACCAACAGGCCCGTCCAACTACATATAGGAAAGGACACTTAAGACGGTAATGACGTACGTGTGTGACCTGGACGTCACCTGATTAAGATATTACTCTAAGGCGCTTTTCTGGGCAGATTGCCGGAGAACACTGTCACCGATTTGACAACAGCAGTCACCTTTTTAGGTCGCTAGTAACCCCTGTGGAACTTTCCGAGGGACGGTGGACACTCATATAAATGGTACTTCAGAATCACACTACTTTGATTAAACCTACATCAAGAGTCGGATTCTGAATGACAATTCGAGACACATTCGGAAATGATCAAAATTTAAATTAAATTCTTAGTGTCGCATTAGTTTCAACGCGTCTCATCTGATTAACGAGATTACTACATACACAAATAAGCATTTTGAATAATCAGAAAATAACTTTGTTTATGATAATATAATTGATGACCCTCGTTCAATCATTATGAACTCTGCGAACTTAAATGTGGAATTTCAATATATTGACAAACTGTACTCATACTGCAATAAAGATACATTACACATGTCCTTAGATCACTATAAAGGTCGACACATTGTTTTGATAACGTAGAATGAATCATAAATATATAAAATTATGTCGTTATATGTAAAATAAATATTACTATTTTATTTTCCCCATATACTGTGCTCTTACCAAACCATATTTATCACGTTTGTACCATTGTCAGATACATAGGCTCACTGCAATAAAATAATAAAATTTTCAACTCCTGTAGCTTGAAATTTGTACTCTTTAGCTTTTCTGTGAAAGTTTAAAATCACATTTAACGATTGTTCGTTTAGTTCAAAAATTCCTTGATGTGTTTCAAAGACAGTACCTATATGCTTACATATGACATAATATATGTTGGTAGTCCAATATGTATTTATATAATTAGTATGTAGAATGGCCACTAAAAAAGGAACGAGATCTTATATTTTATGTCTAACGACAGTTATCATAAGAGTAGACGTTCTTATCCTAGTCTTATGTCAGGCTGATTTAGTGGTTAAGCAGTTTCCACCGAAATATGCTGTCTTCTTCGTCTCATCAGTAATTGAACAAAATTTGTTCCTTTTCTGCATAATTTAGATTGTTCGTCTCATCTAATTAGAATGAAGATTTCTCAGCAATTCATTATACGATGTTAAATACTTTCACACTAATATTGATTGATAATTTATTGTAATCAAAATGAAATAATTAAACCGAATTAGTGGTGTCTAAACTGAACGAAATGGAATCGATTATGAACCGCCCACTGCGCGTAGTCATTGGATCAAAAATGGCACTGATACAAACAACTACATTAATTTAACTGCATATAAGACAATCGCATTTACAGTTATATTGTTTAACAAACATTTCATATGTCTTTTTCTTCATCATCAGCTTTTTATACAGCTTCTCCTTAGAAAGGAGGTCTACTATACCACGCTGGCCAGATGGGTCGGTTATAGGGCTTGTTTCAAGTTTTCCTTCTATTTGCAGTGCTGCTGTCTGTAAAATGTTTTATCTTATTTTATTTGAATAGTTTTTGTGTTATAGAGAGCTGCAATGGTGGTGCGAACTGCATCCCATTGAACGATTGCCAAGGATTATACTCACAACTCCAGCGCGGTAACACTCCACAGCTCACACAGCTACTGCGGAGTCTGCACTGCGGATTTCAGGAAGTCGATGTGCCTAAGGCAAGAAAATACGTTTATTTATTGATTTCATTTTTCCAGTTTTATCACAAAAATAAAAAAATGCCTAGCTAGGTCCAAAACTCACGGTCACGTGTATCTAAGGAAACATCCCTTTAGTACCTCTTCCCAAATACAAAATGCCACATTTGTCATCAGAAATAAAGTTTGAGGTTTATTTTTGATGCAATGTATTTTTGCGCTTTATTTATACAAAATTAAAAATACAATAAAGGTTCATTAAACATATGTTTAATGAACCTTTTTTCAATAATTATTGTTGAAAATTGTGCTTACATAAGTCCAAAAAGTATCGGGAATGGATGATTTGTTTATGGTTCCAACTTCAAATTTTTGTTTTTTTTTGTTGTTGTTAGATTGGCACAACTGTTTTCCATTTTGGCGCGGAGTTTGAGTTGCATCTGTTATTTATATTAAATACAGTGTCATATCTAGTGTGTATTGCGAATTTCATAATGGACAAAAACATCGAACAAAGAGTTTGTCTTAAATTTTGCATCGCCAATGGAATTTCGTTTTCGGAGTAACTGAAAATGTTACAGAAGGCTTACAGTAAATCGACTTTAGCAAAAACACGTGCTTATGAGTGGTACAAAGCGTTCAAAAGTCGTCGACATGTGATGGAAGATTTGCCTCACTCTCGTAGGCCATCAACGTCTGCAACTGAAGTTAACATCGCAAAAGTGAAGGAAATAGTGACTGAAAATCCTCATTCAACTTTGAGAGAGATAGCCGCCGCACTTTCTGTATCTCACGAGTCGATCCGTACCATTGTAACTAATCATTTGGGGATGAAACATGTTACCGCTCAGATAATCCCAAAAGACCTGAATTTTCTCCAAAAACTCAATCGCATAAGAGTCGCTGAAGACATACTAGAACGAGTTAATTTCGATTCAACATTCATGAAACGCATTGTAACTGGTGACAAGACGTGGATTTACGAGTTTGACTATTAGTAAACTAGTCAACAAGCTTCGGAGTGGCGCCTTCCAACTGAACCGAAACCGAAAAAACCACGCCAAAGTCGATCAAAAGTCAAAGTCATGTTGACTGTTTTCTTTGACTATCGCGGTGTTGTGCACTCGGAATTCTTGCCGGAAGGTCAAACGGTAAATAAAGAATATTATTTGAGCGTTATGCGGCATTTAAGAGAGCAAATTCTACGAAAAAGGCCAGATTTGTGAAAAGGAAATTCTTGGATTTTGCACCACGATAATGCGCCTTTGCACAAGGCCATAATTGTGAAAGAATTTTTGACCAAATACTCAACAAATACCATCGAGCAACCACCATATTCACCAGATATGCCTCCAGCCGACTTCTTTCTTTTACCTAAACTCAAATTACCACTTCGTGGCACCCGTTTTCAATCGGTAGAAGACATAAAGGAGAATTCGCGGCGAGAACTGAACTCAATTCCGGAAACAGCGCTTAAAAATGTTTTGATGATTGGATTATTCGTTGGCGTAAGTGTATCGTTTCTGAAGGAGCATACTTTGAAGGTGATAAAATAAATTTGGATGAATAACTAACTTTTTGTGTATTATGAGATCTTTTCCCGGTACTTTCTTGACAGAGTAGTACATTCATTAAATTTTTAGATATTTTATAAAAAAATTAACAGTTGGAAAACCCCATTGTGGAGTGTAGATTTTTTAACCAGCTTACATGACTTCTCATCAAGTTCAACAAAAAATTGAAAGTAAAAAAATTGCTAAAACGATTCTTAGTAGGCTGTCCAGGCTGTTTAACCCTCCTCAACCTGTTTAGGAGCCTGTAACATAAAAGTTAAGGCTATGTACTAATTATTTGTCTTATCACAGATATGCTGTCCACCGCAGTTTTTAAATCAAAATGATGAAGCTAGAACCAATGGGCCAACCGTCGAATCGAGATCTCCGAGAGATCCCATCGGTATTTTACCTGACGAGCGAATCTGCGGCATCCAAAACAACGAGAGAATAGTGGGTGGAGTACAAACAGACCTTGACGAACACCCCTGGATGGCATTACTTCGATATGATAAACGTAAGTATTCTCATTTACTTTAAACAGCAAATAAAAAAAATAATGTTCAAAATCAATACGAATGGAATTTTAGTTTTTTTTGGATCCACTCAAATTTTTACATAATTTTGTAAAAAGTTCAAAAGTTGTATTATTATTATTAGTTCAGTAGCTAATAATTATACAACTTTTAGCAAGAGTGTGCTCGTGTGTGTAGTCTTATGGTTGTTATTTGAATCTTATAAGAATTCTTTATTACTCTAACTTTTGAATTGAATATCGACATTTTGATATTATTAATGGCAAATGCAATAAAATACATTTATTAAATAACTAGAGGCGAAAATTCTCTTTTTTATTTATTGTTAATACTAGAAGTAATATGCAGCAGAAGCATTTGTTGCTACAATAACGTAAAATAAGTATGTCTTTAAATTGCGAAAAACAGAAATGATTTAGTTAAAGTATGCGATGTAAATTTAAACATGTGGGCCTCTTGATCTATATGTTCCATGTTTTCATAACTGAACTCTCACAGTTAGTAAACATGTTTTTCCAATTTATAGTGAATTGAAGTAATTGTTTTGAATTCCCAGATACAATTAACCATCAAAGTATTCTAGACATGCGAATAACTACAAATAGCAATGTAATACAAAAAGGTTCTTACGAAGGTAAATGCAACATATGGACTTTGTTAAGAAAGGGCAATCCTTTAGAATAAGGGCACACGTGTGACTTGTCGCTGTGACTAAAAAGTTTTTGTCACAGTTACATCACGTACAATGCGCTCATGAACGATGACAGTCACCAGTCGTTTTAAATATCTAATTATTATCAATCGACAGTGAATTCGAAGCCGTCCTATTCTATGAACCCTTGAAACGTAGAAGAAAATATGAAAAAAAGTATTGAGTAATGTATTTTTTGACACATTATTAGCAGAACATCTTCTACAAAATTTCATAAACTTTAATAGTTTTCAAAGGTTTTATTTTTATTTTTCAGTGATATTAATTTAAAAAAAAAATGTTTTGGGTTTTTGTTGTTATAAATTTTCCCAAATAATTTAATATGAAAGAATGAAAGACAAAAAGGAATGTGGCCGTTTGTTTGCCCTTTCTTCTGATGAGGCTCAACCCCTTGGAAATGGGCGGTTGAAGATCTGCACAGGCATATAAGAGAAGTATGACCATGTGTCTGCTTTGCGCTCCCAATTAAACTGGTTACCTTAACGCCTGCGTCGCTATCAGCGTGCACTTACCTCTCTATTTTCACTCTTAAACTCACCGACCTCACCTACTTACCTCGCTCCCTACCTGCGTTACCTGTCCTCTAATCACGACAGAAATCTTTGCTCAGAAAATAATCTGCTTCTCTTATGTCCCTCCCACAACTCCAACTTCGTGAACTCTTCGTTTTTTGTTCAAGCAGTACTACTCTGGAATGCGCTCCCGCTCGAAATCAGGATGTCCACTAACCGTTTTGTTTTCAAAAAGAAGGTGCACGATCTCCTTCTTAATAAAATGGCAGAACTACCCAGTCACCTACATAGTACACCTCATATTCCGGTATACATAGTGTACGAATATAACATGTATATTTATAAAGATATTTATATATATATATATATATTTATATATGTAGGTGTATGATGTGATGTGTTGTATATGTGTATATGTGTATGTATATGTATGCAGTGAACCGTGTATATTTTTATATATTACATGTCATAATAGGTAATCTCTGTGCACCTACCTTATATGATTTCTACACCACCCAAAGGTTGACTGGAAGAGAATGCCTTGGGCATTAAGTCCGCCGATGTACAAAAGTGCATGAAGTTTGAAATAAATAAATAAATAAAAAAAAGAGAATTTCGATACGTACCTATATATTTAGTTTGCTAAATATTTGACAAAACAGAGATTGTTGCTATTGTGAATGTTGATCTATGTCTTTAGTCTACATAAGAGACGATTTCATTTTTGTTTTTATGAAATTAAAATAGTTTGGGTTTGAAAAAAAATTTGATTTGGTATAGGTAGAGACTGAATTCTAATAGAAATTAAGGTTACAAATTTTTACTCTTTTCACTGAATCTGCATAGGTCTTAAGGTCAATGGCCTGGCTATAAATATAGATAAAGTGTAAGTATGTATTTAATAAATTGACTTCTCAAATTTCCAGCTGTTGGATGGGGCTTCTACTGCGGAGGCGTACTGATATCATCTAGATACGTTCTCACTGCTGCACATTGCGTCAAGGGCTCTGATTTACCGCGGACCTTTAGACTGTAAGTGATACACGCTTATATTAATAAAGAACTCGTAACGTTGGCTTTGGTTGCAATTTGTGAGGTAACTAGAAGCGTTTTTCGTAACAGAATATAAAACTACTAGCGAAACTGACAGACATTGTCCGGTATACACGTCTTAAACTAAAAAAACATTTTGTAGGGGACCGAACTCATTCAAATAGATTATTTTCTTTTCTAGGTCCATTTCTATACAATAGGTGAAATAAAGAGTATTTATAAATTAAATTATGTCAAAAACACATTACGTAATTATTTACAAATTTTGTAAATAATTACGTAATGTGACCAAAAGAAATAGGTCATTCTAACTTCCTATGTTTTTCTTAATTTTATAATCTTTCTGTCTGTTCTGTCTTTTACGAATATCTACATCAAATATTGTCAATTATTCAAGATCTCAAGTTCGTCTTGGTGAATGGAACACATCAAATCTGGTTGACTGTATCAAGGACGATTGCGCTCCGCCCGTGCAGGACATCCCCGTAGAACAGATAATTGCGCATGAAGGATATATCCCAGAAGATGCCAACCAACATAATGACATTGCGTTGCTGAGGCTCTCGCGCGATGCACGATATAATGGTAAGATCGTCTCTATTTCTAAAAGATAAAGATAAACAATATATTCATTGAATGGTCGACCTTGCATTCAATGTTGACCTGCCACCAGTGCCAAATTTGTAAAAACCTTTTTATGCCTGCTTTGAAGAATCTAAAAAAGCAAATAGTTAAATAAAATAATTTTCTGCTTTCTGTACTCAGTTTTCTCAATCAGTTTCAGTATTTGGAGCAGAGAATTTTGACATGGCTTTTTTGAAGTGTGAAATGTGATATCGTTGACCTCCTGTTAACCTCACATTAAAAGTAACTTGCCGTGGATATTGTTTTCAATATTTCTTCAGAACAAATTATTTATACCTTAGGTATATAATTGTTTGTTTGTAGATTTCGTCAAGCCTATATGCCTACCACTCACCAGAGAACTTCAACGCGGCACATATGAGGGTTATGACATGGAGGTAGCTGGATGGGGCAAGACTGAAACGCGTAAGATTATAGCATTTTAAGGAAGATTTTGTTTGTACTTGTGTTGGATCATTAACAAATGTGTTATTTAAATATACCTGATAACAAAATATATTTTAGTAACTGTTACTTAAATAGTACGGTAGATAATTTAAATAAGCGGATGCAACTGCTTGTTAAAAATTGAGTTTGAAATGTACTTATTAAAAGTAACCACAAGTCGTTATCGCCTTTTGGATTTGACGTAGAACAGCACTGAACGCTGTGAAGGCAAATTCTCGTAATAAAAGTTCAAATTTCAGTTTTGATCAATTCTCGATCTCGGAACAGTCATAAAAGGTATTTTTAATTATCTCGAAAAAATGTAGTGTTCCCGTGGAAGAAGCAAGGTACAACAACAAGCGCGGGCAAACCACCCGGTGCGCAGCTGGTTAATATATTATTACCTATATCTGTAAATTAATCACTACTCAAATCAAATGCATAGAATTTCGTAGAGATAAATAGTAATTGCCTAAACCTTACCTATAATGGGTTCTCAAAGACAAAGAAACAAAGACTTTGGTTGATTACATTATTTTTCATTACAGGTAGCGAATCCGACGTAAAGTTAAAAGTAAGAGTACCGGTAGTGCAGAACAACGATTGCGGTAAAGTGTACGACAGAGTAAGTCGAGCGATAGTCAACAGCCAGATGTGTGCGGGCGGAGTCGCCGGACAAGACTCGTGTCGAGGAGACTCCGGGGGCGCGCTCATGGGTCAAGCGCCCGCCGCCAACAACTGGATGGTCATCGGCGTTGTGTCTTACGGCCCTTCACCCTGTGGAACTCCGGGGTGGCCAGGAGTCTACACCCGCGTCGGCACTTATGTTAACTGGATACTGTCTAATATGCGACCTTAATTATAAAAATAAATTAACCTTATGTCCGACTGAGATTTAATAGATTCTTTATTTTTCTTATACTTTAAATACAAAACATGTATACATGTACAAGTATCTACAAGAGTTTAATATGAAACAATTTACGAAAATTTATTTAGTAAACAGGTACTGAGATATTAAATGCTTAATTTTGACGGAGATTACTTAATTATGATTTTCGTCCTAAGTCACTAGGTTTCAGCCTTCGATCAATACACCGTACAACTTACAACTTACAAGAAACCTCTTTGAAAGACTGCCAGGTTACTTTAGGGTAAATCCTACTTAAATCAAGTTTCATTTAATATGTAAATATCATTTTAAATTGTACGTAATTATATTAAGTAAGTGTGTTACTTTTTTAATATAATTACCATCTAACTATTGTATACTTAGACGATTAAGATTAAAAAGTAGCACTATTGAAATCTACATGTCATTGCAGGTCAACTATTTTGCAGCAAACAGTTTACCGTTGTCGTTATTGAAAATACTTCTGTAATAATACATTACTGTAATAAACTCATATTATTCTTTTTATTGATTCTTGAATATTGCAGGCAGATGTTTAATCTTGAAAAAATACCTATATAAATAAAAATACGTACAAAATAGTCAAATTGTTAATAAAATTTTAAATGTAACAAGTTGTGTCATTTGCCAAAAGTATGCATTTATTATACTCATTGTAACATTTTGACGACGTGACTGCATTTAAAAAACTAGGTTTATTTATTTTTAACGATATTTATCGTAATACTAAGTCCATATAGTCTACTTACCTTATCGCCATATTCATGATCAAGTGTTGTGTTGTGAAGTATACTGTACATTTCTACAAGTTACAACATTCTCGATAAATAAAGATCTAGTAAATTAAGAGAGAATTTCAAAACGAATCAATGATTATCTTTAAATAATTTTAAAAAATATGTAGGACAACATGTAGGATAAAGTAGGTAGGTAGGTAGGTTAATTAATTTTCTTATCGTATCGTATCGTTTATTTCAGTACTGCTGAATTAGAGGATACTTTTGTGACTTACTGTTGTTCCAATATCGTTCTAGCAGTTGCAGTTGGTAGTAAATCACTCAAATTTATCTCAACATGAATGGCACTTTCGGAAACAAATACACAACAAACTAAAACTATCAGATGAAACGAGCAGTACTTTATCTCCTAAATCGCGTCTCCAATCAAAGGATGGACATTCAAGTCCGAGCATCGGCACTTACTTACACTAACGTCTGCATCCCTATGGCAGAAGTGTATAGTTTATATTCAATCCGTCTTATAAATTCAGTAGCCTTTAACAGTCCACCGCTGGACATAGGCCTCTCCTTATAAAGGAGGTTTTGCTTACTATAGCACGCTTGCCAGACGGGTTCGTATAGGGTTGGTTTCAAGTTTTTCTACTTCTTGCAGTGCTGTTGTCCTGCGTAGTCGGCTCTTACGACATCCACGGGTTGAGTACGGGTGGTGACACTCCGTATTCTTAATCCGTCAGGACAGATAATTTAAATGGTTGCTAAAATATGTATAAAAAAGTCCACTCTATCATTTTACGGAAAGCCTAGTTCGAATTATACCAGTTTAATTATTTTGGTGAAAGTAATGCTGGTCGGAATTCTACCATCAGGCGCTCCCTAATATGTGACCTATATGTTTGAAAAAATAAATAAGAAGAACAATAATCACATACTGGGATCTAGGGGCACGGTCAACGGCAACAAACAAGCCACTCAGGTGTGGAGTTTGTGAAGTTAGGGCTTATAGAGTAAGAGCATGTAGAATTTGAAAGCTTGGCTCTACATGAGATCTGATAACTTTTTGACACTGCCAGCCATATGGTCTCGTCTTGACAATATTTTACATGAAAATGTTTTTGGTGGAATAATATATGTCACATCGCTGTTTGTAGTGTGACCCACATTGAAACACTTTTTTTGTAAATACATTCGTCTCAACATAGAAACAACTGGGAGTTTCTAACATGTTACTGATGCATTATTATATTATATGTGCAATATATCTATTTGCATAAGAGAGAGAGAGAGAGAGTCTACAGAGATTTTGAATTGAATGTACGAAATTTAAACTACTTGCAAATATTTGTGGTTAAGTTATTTTTATTCGCGATTTTATCCAACCAAATAAATAATACCTCCAATAATATTATACAAGTATTACCTGTCTTTACAAGATGGCGATAATGTATGTAAAAAAATGTAATCTTAAAGTTGCGTTACGAGCAGTCAAAACCGGTTAAATCAACTAACACTATGACATAAAACGTATCAGTGTCTTTTGGACACAATATTGTTGAACCTTTTCTATGGTTAAGTTCACTTAATAGAACAGTGCCATATTATGAAAAACCAGTGCGATAAATATGTGGCCATTCACTATATCTTACTATTAACATTGTCTATTGTAAATTGCCGTAAGTAAACCAAGAAAATGTATCAATTATTCATATTAAAATTGTGTTGTATTCCCATAAATACCAGACAATTCATTTACTGTGTTAGGCCCGGAGTTCTCTGAACGTCGCGGTCGCGTGCCAGCGACGACCGACGCGTGTCCTCCACCGGTGGCGTACGAGTGGTATGTATGGAAATGCTCAGCGCTGGGTTCTTAGAAACGTCGTCGGCGGCGGACAGTGCGAGCGGGCAAGGTCGCATGCCGCACGCGTTGGTCGGTATCATAGTTGTATAATAACGACGGGCACACGCCGCGACGTCCTGACTTTAAAATGAGATAATGAAAATAATGAATTGATTAATCGCTCGCACGTGACCGACGTTCAGAGTACTCCGGGCCTTAGTCGTAATGAGAAAAAATTCATCAGTAATGACAAAACAGCACAAATAAATTATAGTTTAAAAAACTGAAAAACACGCTTTTTAATTAGACGAACTAAAAAATAGAAAATAATTTCCTATAACTTCAAAAAGAAAAATCATTTTATCGTAAATTAAAAAGTGGTGGTGTGGATTGTGTTATTCATTATAGCTTTCTCAGGTCTGGTCAGGTAATAACAGCAGATATTTACTGTGCCAAACTTAGGAAAATGATGGTAAACTGGAACTGGCAGTGAAAGTCAGTGAAAGAGCCCCAACCCGTGAATCAATCTTCACCATTATTGCTCAATGACAACGTCGTCCTCTGTACTGCTGTACCTTGCCCAATTTTTTTCGTGATTTGGACAATTTCTACGTCATAAAAAAAATACTTCCCTGGTGGCAGTACAAAATGCTTTCACACAGTTTGTCGATGCAGATCCCCAGAGTTCTATCGCAAAGGCATAAATGAATTTCCGTTTAGATGGCAGCAATGTATGAATAATGATTGTAAATATTTTGATTGAATAAATATGTTACATCTTAGAAAAAAACGAGTTTCAATTTTTCAGTAAATCGGCAATTTCATACTTTAACCCGTAATAGTTGCATATCATACGTGTTTACTTTTAAAATAATTTAGAATCTGGATGGCACACTCTATTGGTTATCGAAGGTCTGTTGCTGAATATCTTTTTTTTTACAGAATCCCCTATTCTATCATAGACTATTTAACAATCGAATTATTTTATTCAAACAGTATTAAAAGTACCTACTTCGAAATGGATCCTAACAATAACTCAACTGCTACAGATCTCAGGTTCGTCTTGGTGAATGGAACACGTCTAGTCAAGTTGACTGTATTCGGGACGACTGGGCTGACCCCGTTCAAGATATTTCGGTGGAGCAAACCATTGTGCATGAAGGATATAACCTACCTAAATGATACAAAACCAACACAATGATATCGCTTTGCTGAGACTTTCGCGAAACGTAACGTTCAACGATAAGATAAAGTAGTTTACAGTGGAAAATATGACTAGAATATACTCATCAGTAAATTTTAAGCAATGTTACTAGAAAAAAAAGCGAATAATACAAAAAAAGGAGAATGTTCTCAATTCTATTCGGTTACATTATTTCGCCTTTGTCAGAACTTCAGAGTTCCATAAAAAAAAATAACCCTAAGGACGGAAAAGTTGCGAATGAGTTAAAGTTCACTTCTAAGGATGTCCCTATCCAGCAAGATTTTAAGTAGCAGAACTTGATTAATGATTAAATTAATACTGTATAAGTGTATTCAGATTTCATAAAACCAATATGCCTTCCGCTTGGTAAAAAAATGCAACAAAGCACGTTTGAGAATGAAAACATGGCCATAGGCGGATGGGGCAAGTCTGATACACGTAAGTCAATCATTTCAGTATCACACGAAAACTTAACGTCATATTCTTAGTGTGAGTTAGCCTCGCACACAAATAAATTCAATTACATCCCATTAAGTAGGTACACCACTTGTTCCACATAACATGAGTTCGGTGAAGTTTTAAAAAAGTATTAATAAAGTATTAGGAATTACAAGATATGTAGTGATTAAATGTAAACTAAAAATATAGCAATTGAAAGAATTTACATCAGTTACAACTTACATTTACAATTAGTACCTATATAACCCGACCCCTTATCTTCTATTAGGTTCTTAATATTGGTTCACTACGGTCGAGTTAAGTACGAAATGCGACAACCATGTCAGTATTTTAATTGTATTTCGTTAATTATTGAGTGTAACGAAATGAAATGTTACCTGTGCATGGTTAAAATTAATGCACGAATTATTGGAATAGGTTTTAGTACGCATTTTCTTTAGAATTTCGTGCAATAACACTGTATTTGAAACGGTGGTCCATAGTCAATTATCATATAGCTCATTAATTACTAAGAATACATCAATTATACTTGGTTAGACGTTGTAGATGCTTACAAGGTATATATAAACGTTATAAACTAGTAATTAAGTAATTAAGTACTAGGACCTAATAACCTCATTTTACGTTTATATTTATATCTTCTGAATGGTATGATTTTTTTTAAATTCCTTTTTACAAACAGTATAAACAATTTAAAACAACGTATGAAAAAATCTACACCTCTAGAAAAGCGTTTTATATGAAATCCAGCAAATGGCCAAACGTTGTCGCAGCGGAAACTTGAATATCTTTGCAATTTATTGACGCACAAATTGCACAATTACACACTAATTTTTGATACCATTTTTTTTCTTCTACGTTCATAGGATAAAAAAAGTGCCACTGGGACACCGTTGTCCCAGCGGAAACAGTTTTTCGTGAACAACTCCCTAATGGTTGGATGCACAAATTTTTACTTACTGGGGCTGGGGCAAGGCACACTCTCTGACCCTACCTCTACCAAGAAAGGTGAAATCTATACCTACTATAATTATGTTTTACAGGTAGCGAGTCTCAAGTGAAGTTAAGAGGGTGGATAAACGTAGTTAACAACAATGAATGCGCCAAGGTCTACGACAAAGTTAATCGTGCGATTATGAAATCTCAGATATACGCAGGTAGCGGCCATTACTCACGAGTAGAATAGACTCCGGGGGCGCGCTTATGGGTTTTTGCATACAACTTACATGCAGACGATAGTAGTCGGCGTACCGTCATATAGACCATTACCCTGTGGCACTTCAAGATGGCCAGGAGTATACACCCGCGTAGACGCATACATTTATTGCATACTATCTAAGTTAGAATCTTAATTTGCCAATATTTCCGTGTTTGAATTGACTGAGTTTTATTTGATTTCATTCATTTTTTAAATATTTCAATAGGAAGGTCTGTTTTACTGTATCGATGGTAGTCGCCCCCACAGGGATCGGGAGACAGCATAACACTTATGGTCATTTGAAATACAAGGTCAGCAACAAGCTATTTCTTAGAACACATACTTCTTGTATTTCTGTCTGTTTTAAAACATGTTCTGCATGTTTAGTTATTGCTCAACCAGTGATGGTGATCGGTACGAGTCAAGACTGGCGATAAAGGCGGTAACCCCTTGCCTTTAAATTTCATATTAACTGGAAACCGAGTTTGAAAATGTTAATTTAAAATGATTGAATAAATAAAACAATGTTAGTTATTATCAAATGTATAATATATATTTATATGCCCAATAATTTATAATTAAACTACAAATTACCATCGTCTCGGTACTAACGAGCCCTCCGCCAGCACCTCACTAACACTCATACATCAGACCCTTAAATAATACAAACTACGACAATATATTATTATTTTGTAAACATAGGAAAACATTACATTCCATAAATAATGAAATATACCTATTAAATCTTGGCACGTAATATTTTATTTGTACTTCATCCCTTTCGCTTGATATGGATCTAGGATTACTCCAAAGATCGATTATATTTGGCATTTGAAAATTTAGCTACTCTTTTAAATGTCGGTATACACCACTGTTTTTCAACACGGCAGCATTCAACGCAGGATGAGCGATATGGCGACTGATGTTCGTGATCAAGTCATGGAAAAAAGTAAGTACTTTTGTGTCCTTGCAATTTGATGAAACTACGGATAGTGCGAATTGTGCGCAGTTTGTGGAAGTATGAACTAATACTATTTTGTAGAGCGCTTCCCACGAAAACTACGGGCCAGTGCTTGCATAACATGTTCCTTGAAGCTACGCAAAATATGACTATCTATTGGGAAAAGAAATGTATTGCTATTTGTAGTGACGGATCAAAGCCATGCCTGGTGCGAACAGTGGATTTATTGCATTTCTTTCAAAAATTGTAAATTCTATTAAAGGAAAAGCGTTCAGACAAGACTTTCGAAAAATTTGTGAAGATATGGGAGCACTTCACCAACATTTACTTTATCATACAGAGGTTAGGTGGTTGTTAAGAGGCAAAGTACTAGTCAGAGTTTTGGAACTTCGTGCTGAACTTTTAATGTATTTGCAGCAGGCCAAGTAAGAATAATCCAAATTTATTTGTGACTCGGCATTCCTTTTGAAATTGGCTTCTTTTTCTGACTTATTTGAGCATTTAAATATCTCGAATAAAAGTGTTCAAGGGCGGGATGCAAATGTCATCACTGCTCAAGACAAAATCCATGGCTTTACAAACAAAATTAACTTGTGGTCATCGTCTCTAAATCACAACCACTTCGATTCATTTTCTTCGACACAGTCTTTTATTGAAGAATAATGTGAGATAAACATCAAGGTATTAGAAAAGTTAAAAGAAGAACTGTCATTACTTCCCAATACAAGAAATATCGAAGAATACTGGGCAAAGGTGGATCTTAAATCCGTTTTTAAATGCAGCTATAAATGTGGCAAAGAACAATGGCAGAAACATATTTACCTAAAACTTAAGCGTTTAAAAAATCGAGTCACAGTAAACTTAATCAAATTTTTTTCTATGATTTATCATTACACCACCATGTGTTGTATAAGTCTTATAAGAGATAAGATATTTTTGAAGATTTTATTTGACCTAAGTACGTAATGTCAGATTCGCCATCACGTATAACTGACTAGGGATGCGTGGTGGCAATATTATATTATGGAACAATTTATCGATAATCGATTCTTATAGCTTTGGCTGAAATATTTACCGAAGGTTCACTATTATGATTATGAATTTGCCCACGTCTTCACTCGTACGGTAGAGTGACTGAATCAACATAATTAGAAATGATTTAAAATATTTTTGACTCTCTTTAAACGATTTTAAACACACTAAAGAAATAGAATATAGTTACGTTATTTTCCACTACACAGTGTGATGAGAAACATTGTCATTGATAACGGCACATAAATAGACATACATCGATATTTTCAAAATGTCGATACGTCGTCGTTTAGTACATATCTCTTAAACTGTGGTTTAGATCCTGTCAAGTTCTGGACTCACCACGTTTGTTATTTTATTTTTGTTTAATTTAGTGTTAAACTCGAATAGATGTTATGCTTTTATTTTTTTTATTTCATATACTGTAATAATAATGAAAATAATATTTTCGGCTATCTGACACACAACGCCATCTAGTTTCAAACAAAACATTAACAATATGTTAGTACTTAACCTCGAAACATTCAAAATCCAATATCTTTTTTCCTAGACTTCTTTCGCAAGTAATTTTGATATGAGAATGGTCAAGAATAAATTCTCAAGTGTTAAGGATTTTTTGATATTTAAACGCTAACATTTCAGTTCAAATAAAATTATGTATGGGGACCTGCCATTGTCCTTTGGCCACCAAGCTCAAATCTGATGAATTTATTTACCGAGGGAATGCTGCAATGGGAATTTAAGTCTGTTAATTTGGATACCTTTTGGTTAAAAAGGAAATCAGAATACCCAGAATTAACAATAGAGGCTTTGAAGTGTTAGCTTCCATTTGCCACCTCGTACTTGTGCGAGTTGCGTTTTCATCAATGGCCCAAATAAAAAGTAAGGAAAGAAATCGCTAATTTTGGAAACGATTTAATTCTCATAGTAGCAAAAACGGATCCACGATGGGAGAAATTGGTTAATGAAAAACAAGCGCAATCTTCCCATTAAGAGTTCTCATAAGTTTTATTTTTATTTTTTGTTAATTTGATACAAATGTTTGAGATAGAAGAGATCTCATAAGTTATTTTTATTTTTTGTTTATTTAATACAAATTATTATGTCCTTTAGTTCACATTTTTCTTAATATATCTTTTTAAACTTTATTGCTTTATTGCTTCGCGAGCCCCCAGGCGGTCGTGACCCACACGTTGAAAAACACTGGTATACACCATACTTCAATTTAGACATTCTATATACCTCTTCATTCAATAATACTATTCGTAATAAATACTAAGTCGAATTATCATAATAGCAGCATTTAATAAACTAAATAAATGGGGCAAGATCGTTATACTTTAGTCTGATAAAAGCAAGATCTTTGTGCTAAATCCATCTTCTGTTAAATCTTTTTCAATAAAACTATATTTAAATAAAGTCATTCTTATATATTCTATGACGAAAAAGTACCTATAGGCATGGTCCTGTAGATTCCATAGTTGAAAAGTGTACACGTACTTTACAAAAGATACTAAAAGTATTTCTATATGTGCTATGGAATAACAATCACTTAATTATTATAGAAATAAAAATTGTGTGTTTGTTAACACACCCAGTAACCTGAGTTTTGTGCGTAAATCCTTATTATTACAAAATCGTAAATATCAAACACACAGAATCTAATTTACTCAAGTATATATATACTTACATAAATTGTAATATATAATAATATACGTTGAGATTCAAAAAAGGTATTAGTGTCGAAAATGATATCTAAATTAGGAGAGTAACAGATTATATCCACTTTTGCTTAATAATTTAAAAAATATGCTTACCTAATATTTTTGTTTTTGTTTAGGTTAGGTATGTTATACAAAAATGGAATGATTTTAGTGGAATGTTCAAAACTTTCTAATACCTACGTATTTTCTAAATAAGTTTTGTATTATATAATGATTTCCAAAATATAAATACTAGAGATAACGAGATTATGTCATATGTCAGAGACAAAAAAAAAATGTTAGGATAAAACGAATACTAGAAAAAAGCGATAAAGCTTTACAGATTAAGAAGCAGCTGCTATTTCAACAGGAATGTTTTCAGAAACTACCAGAGGATCTTCAGCATTTTCTTCAACTTCAGGTTCTGGATTTTCCCCATTAGCCCAAGTACCATTTGCATCATCTTCAGTCGGGGATACATTGTCACTAGTTCCATTCTGTTCCTTGCTTAAACTTTGTTCAAAAAAGTCATCTTGATTGCCATTGACTTGAGGCCCATTTAGTAAAATATCCTGAAGTTTAGCCCCAAATTCAGGATCTTGTTCAGAAACTCCTTTTATCAGTCTATCTTGTTCCTCTTCGGCCCATGTAGGAAACCATTCATTAAAAAGTTTTATCTGAAAATCAGTTTGGTTGATGTATTCAAGATTTTCAAACTATTTACACAAATCATTTTAAAATAAGACTAAAATACTTTTGAAGAGTTAGATGTAAGACAATATACTTAATCTATATATATATAAGAGATTTCCACGTATATAGTCACTCATCACGATATCTCTGGAACCATTAGAGCTAAAGACTTGAAATTTGGTAGGAATATTCTTTTCACCGAGTAGAGGTCAGCTAAGAACGGATTTTAAGAAATTAAAAAAAAATAAAAAAAAAATATGTAAATAGCAAAACAACGTTTGCAGGGTCAGCTAGTATGTTATATACCTTCATGCGAGGTAGATTTTGCTATTTACGACATCAATACATAATAATGTATGTACAAAATTAAAGGATGCAATCTTAACAGGAGACTATCTGTACTGGCAATGTATGATTAAGATCCAACCAAAGTCAGTTATTATTATAAACAGTACTTAACAAACATATTATCTGATAACCAATATTACAAATTCATTAGTGTATTTTCTTAGTTAATTTGTTTCGTTCATACCATAACTACACAAATGAGCATATATACACATTAAATTTTACATTGACATTATGAGGATAAATAAAAGGCTATGAGGTACATCACAGAAAAGTTTTGTTACCCAGGAGTAAAAAAAATGAGTAAATGATTTGACATAATCTCCATTACTTAGTATAATGACAGAGGCTTCTAATATGTTTTGGTCTACTCTATACAAATAATTGAGTAATGAAGTATGATTATTTGTTCTATGTTTATGTGTATTTTATCCATGATATGTATGTATTTAGAAATACATAATTATAGAAGTATATTTATCAGCAGTCTGGTTATAGTAGTACAGGTTCTGCCTACTTTGGGATTAGATGGTTGCATTTGATATGTTTGAGGTAAGGTTTTTAAATTTATCAAATATTTTGACTAGATAACAGATTATGCACATGGTACTCTTTTAGTGTAAAGATCAGGTACAAAAGTATGTATAGACCCAAACCATCACCTTACATAAATCTCATTTAAGTAATGAGTTATCACATATTCAAACTTTTAACAAGGTCAGTCTAAACTTATAAAAAATATTACTTTCTCTATGCTTATATAATCATATATAAATAGAAATATGTTGACTAAAGTATATAAAATTAACAAGGTATTGAACCATGTTAATTTTATTGTATTGATCATTTCTTTTAAAGATGCATTCATCATTTTACTTTATTTTGGAGATTATTATCTAAAGATCTATTTTAAATAATATGTTTAAGGTTCTTAAAAATATTAATAGTTATGTACTCACCCTGCACTGAAATAAACTAACAGGTTTATCGTGACAAGATATGTTTGCTAAGACAGCAGCCAACTGATCTGGCTGGTCTCCCCGTGCTGCAGCCAGTACAGGCAGGAAGTCTTCTCGTTGTAGCTCACTGAACTCTCCAAACCATTGCAGAATGTATCGGAGCTGTGCTTCAGAAGTTAAACCTGGGGCAGACATCCTACTGCCTAGGGGACGATGCTCACCTAATTAAAGAAAGGATAAAAATTAGTATGGTATGAACCAATGTTACGTACCATATAGCACCTAGAGGCATTTTGTTTATTAAAACTTTCCCAACACAGTAAAACTTACTTGCATGCATGACAGACAAATAAACAGTAGATCCAAGCAACAACGACATCTTGTCTTGTCTATTACTGTAGAAATTGTCACAATAGGTTTTGATAAAACCTTTTTGCAATCACCAAACGCAGAAACCAGACACTTTCTCGCACCTACACGATTGCAACTGAGCCGAGAGACTAATATAACAATTTCACCTTTCAACCTGTTATATCATAAGTAACATTTCACTTTCTAACGAAATAATTTACATTTATACGAGGACGATGATTTACGTAAGAATTATAATATGAACAGGCCAGTTGCGTGTTAATTTTTAGATTGAGATAGCTTACCTATTTAATGATAACACAACAATGTTTCACACAAACTTATTTATTTCAAACAAGTAATTGGATACAGATACTTTGCGAGACTTCTTCAATGTCTCCAATCAATTTAGAATATAATAAATTTGAAGAGAATAAATTACAATTCGGTAACTGACAGAAGGCAAGCATAGGAAACGTCAGATATTGTTATTTTACTTGACCTTGATTATTACCAAGATGGAAAAAAATCCAAATAGGGAAGAAAGAAAGAGAAGGTAAATAAACAACAGAGCCACAGGATATGTAGAATAACAAGTGAAGCATTTAAAGTTACCATATTTTTTCAATAAAATAAATAGAATATCTGTAAATGAATGCACAATTTATTTTTCTACTAATTAACTAAATTGAAATTTTACTTGACATCATAAGTATAAAAAAAAATTGTATGAATGTGCATACTTACCGTTATTTATTTATAAAAGTAATTGCAGTCATCGAAATTCATTGTCATTATAAGTACTGCTGTGTTCAGCTAAGAACAATGCAGGATGATTAGTTTTTAAAATTGCATTATGGGTAAGCTTCTTATTATGGAATGTCGTCTGAGACAGTAGGTACCTACGTAACTGACCAACAGCAACAAGTGATAGTCTTGCGATTCTGTCATGCTCATGATACCCACTCACTTGTATATGAAACAACACTCGAAGATCTTGCTTAATCAGAAGATCTTTACTATTCATTTTTAAAAACATTAAATCGAGTTCCTCAACAGTATGGTGAACCCGAACTCAACAATACTGATAATAGATCAAAGTTTTTTTTTTTTAAATTGATCTTTCCCTGAGTATTTTTCGCTAAATAAGGTTGGCGCCGGCTTTAAGTCTACTACGATACCGCTGAACCCAACGCTGACCTCCATAACCCAAGTACTAGGCAATGCCATCTTAGGCCCTGCCGGGGCCCCGGGTACACAAGTAGTTGGGGCCCTGTTGGACAGTAAAACAATATGAATCGGTAGGTACATATAGATACATACAGGTATTACAGATGTAAATATAGGTAGGTTTTGGAGGGGACGAATATCTGTGTGTTAAACTTGTGAACTCTATTATTAAAAATGAAAACAATTATTTTATTACATGTTATACATCACTTGTTGGCATCGTGTAATTACAAAAAATATATTTAAATGATATCCCAGTGCAAGTGCTGTGGTCCAGTGGTATTGTCGACAATACACAATGTGGTTAACTAATTTTGTTTCTGATTTTACTTTAAAATTATTTATCTATTTATAATTTAATTTTACCTCAACGCCTTTCAGTTAACTCCCGTCGAAAGCAAACTAGTAGGGTGGGAGAATAGCTACAGAATAGATACGACCTTCAAACCTTCAAGAAAAGAGCGTATTCCTTCCTAAACGGCCGGCAACGCGTTTGATGACTCCTTAGTTGCAGACGTTCATGTCACTTCCCATAAGGTGATCCGTCTGCTCGTCTGACCCCTCTAACATAAAAAAAAGAAAAGGCTTGTCAGGCTACGTGCAGTAAGGCGCTTTTATACCTGTTTCATTACTCATGTCGCCACGACAGGGTAATAGAAATCATACGCGAAGCTATTAGTTGCTGTTTACTGGCGAGAGCGAAAAAAGGTAAAGGAAGGCTCACCAAAAAAATATATCATAAAAGCCGTACTCAATCATAAATACCACCCGTGACTGGACACTAGTGGACACGTGTGAAAAAACATTACAGAATACCGGAGAATATCTGTGCCTCGGCGTCCAGACCAGACATCTTGGTATTTTGCGGAATCAATTAAGCGTGTGTTACTAGTAGAACACACGGTATAACGTTACCGTGTGTTCCTGTTTTTACTTTCGTTCCGTACAAATTATTACCGTACAGATAGGAATGTGGGTTACCCGTATATTCCGTACAAATTAACCACACAAACTACAACCCATATTCCTAAAGACCACGCTAAAACGCTAAAAATTTATAAAATAATAAATACTTTAATAAATATAAAAGAATAAATTTATACAAGAATAAATATTTTGACTTAACCAACGAATTAGTTAGAAATTGCTATTTTGTTGCGTTATATGCCGTAAAAGTAGGTGCGAGGGGTATACCAACTAAATTTTTCTTGAACTAAAGCGGTATTGTTAGGATCATATCAAATATAGCTAGGTAGAGGGGCATACCACAGCAGACAGTGGAGATAAGCGCTGACGGTTCGCCAGGAGTACTCCCTAAACCTATTTCTGGGTCGCAAGTCCCTGTCGCTATAGTAGTCGCATGTGTTATCCATGTTATACCATCTGTCACGCGATGGACCCGGCAACCGCACGGTGAATCCATGAAACGCTAAGAAATAGGTCTTTATATATTTATTATTAATTTAATATTTATAATATTCTGAATATTCAAATTTATTTTTGGTTTAACATATGTACTTTATAACTTGTTTATCCCACTTCTCAAGTGGTCCTAGACCGGAACCTAGATGTGCCAGCTTAAAACAACTTCTTTTATATCTTTTATAACTATTATCAATTTGACAAACAAGTTTTTTTAAGCTGTAATTATCTAAATACATAGAGTTACTGAAAATGAAAAAAATACCAGGCTATTAGTAAGGCGATTTTACAGCCCAACAAAAAAGTTTAGATGGTGGCAAAACGAAGGTTTAGGTGAAGACTGTGCAATTCGCAAGAAGTAAAGCGGTCGCAGAATGTCCAGTTCACAGAATGTCCAGTTTGCGGCATGTGCAATATTCATCCAGCAAGTGCCAGAACTGCTTACATTGTAGTAGTGGAATGTAAAGCTCCACTAGCTTGTAGAAACTGAAACAGTAGGTTAGGTTAGGTTAGTATTTCGATGGGGTGCTGGGCTAGAAAACCTCCTCGTGGTGCACCCTGGAAACGCTGGCGATGGTACTGTTTCCTCCTTGTCCTCTTGGAGGAGAGGATTATCGCCAGCGGCTAATATTCTAGCAGAAGAGGAAGCCGTTCATCGGCTCTCGGGCAAGGCCTGGTCCAGCAGGGTGGGCGTGTCTGCCGGTTGCCCTGCTGGCTCTTCGCTCTTCGGAGCATGGAGGAGGAAACCTCGGTAAAAAACCAGAAGGTGGGGCCCTATAGGGGCCAGTTTCTCCGCTGTTAGCGGTGGAGAAAGGAGGACGGGCTCGGCGTGTACTGACACTACCACCGAGCAGGCAGGGAGACGTAGTCTCCTTGTCACCGTCGGCATATCGTAATCCCGAGAAGAGCGCTGTGGTCAAGTCTCGCGGCTCTGATCGGGGACGAGGGTCTTGGCTTAACCGCCCGGACCGCGAGGATGTAAACCTCTCTAAAAAATGCCCCGAATCCCGTGTTCTGGTGCGTGGCCAGGGGATGCATGGCTGATGGGTAGTTCAGTCGTAAGCGCACTCCCAGCCGGGGCACTTGCGGACCCCTCGGTTGGGCATAAATTTACGCTTGCCCGGGTATTGGGGGATCTCTGCCCGGGTGGACCTTTAGTTCTCCCCCACTCGTGGGAATATAATGGATACTGAAGAAACAAATAAAGTAAAAGGACAAAACAAACAAACAACGAAACAGGCAAGCCAAAAGGACAACGAAACGGTGGGAAAGAAGGAGAAGAAGAAGAGTGGTGGAGTGGATTCGGCGTCCACTGAAGGCGAGGTGGTGTCGAGAACACCTATCTCGGTGGGGCTCCCAGTAGTAGTCTGTAGTAGACTGACTGCTGGGAGCCTAAGATCATCGGAGCGTCTTCGTTCCCGGTCCGCGGCTTCATCAGACGGTGGCTCCAGTGTGTCGATTGACGCACTGGACGCTATGGATGTTGAATTCCGCGACACTGGGAGTCGCAAGCGTGGACACTCCGGAGAGGAGGGTGTAGACCCCTCGCAAGACATGCTGCCACCTAAGGTGGCCGGCAGCCAGCGAGGACGGTCACGGACGCCGATCGCGAGGTCGCGTGCCCCTGTCCCCGTCCCGTCGGGCTCCGCCTTCTCTGGGGCGGAGTCTTACAGGCGTGTCCGAGCGGACGGCGAGGCCGCAGCGGAGGAGGAGATCGCGGATCTCCTGCTCAAGATTCGGGAGCCGGTGGAGGGAGACGCCCCCCGGGCTCCCGTGTCTGTGCAGGAGAGGGCGAGGGCGGCGGTGGCTATCGTCCAGAAGGTAGCCACCAAGTCAGTTAACCTTAAGGGCTCTTTTGTGAGGGCCCTTAAGGACTCCTCCTCCGCCATGTCGGAGGTCGTGGAGGGCCTAGTAGGCGACGTGTCTCGCCTACAGATGGCCAATGACAGGCTGACGGAGCAGGTGAACGGGCTGAGCGCTCAGTTCGCCCGCTTCCGGGCGAACCTCCCCGAGCGGGGGGCCCCGTCCACGCCCCAGCCTGTCCCTACCGCGACCTCAGGGGTGCCTGACGCCCAACTGCGGTCAATTCTTGACGCAGTTGGGCGTATGCTGGATGGCCGTCTGGCCGGTCTGGAGGCGAGACTGCCTCCTGCGCCGGTCGTGCGCCCCCCGCTCGCGTCGTCGCAGCGGCCTAAGGCTGCTGCTCCGACTGCGCTCCCTGTTGTGGGAGGCCGCGTGTCATACGCGGCGGCGGCGTCGGCGTCGGCCCCGACTCCACCACCGGCTCCCCAGGGGCCGAGAAGAGCGGCCAAGGCACCGGCCCAGGCGCCAGTCAAGGCGCCGGCCCAGGCCCAGGCCAAGAGTAAAGCGGCGAAG